TTTATAAACTCACAATTGAATGTTTTATAAACTCACAATTGAATGTTTTATAAACTCACAATTGAATGTTTTATAAAAACACAATTGAATGTTTCATAAACTCACAATTGAATGTTTTATAAACTCACAATTGAATGTTTCATAAAAACACAATTGAATGTTTTATAAACTCACAATTGAATGTTTCATAAACTCACAATTGAATGTTTTATAAACTCACAATTGAATGATTCATAAACTCACAATTGAATGTTTTATAAACTCACAATTGAATGTTTCATAAACTCACAATTGAATGTTTTATAAACTCACATTTGAATGTTTCATAAAAACACAATTGAATGATTTATAAACTCACAATTGAATGTTTTATAAACTCACAATTGAATGTTTCATAAACTCACAATTGAATGTTTTATAAACTCACAATTGAATGTTTTATAAAAACACAATTGAATGTTTCATAAACTCACAATTGAATGTTTCATAAAAACACAATTGAATGTTTTATAAACTCACAATTGAATGTTTTATAAACTCACAATTGAATGTTTTATAAAAACACAATTGAATGTTTCATAAACTCACAATTGAATGATTCATAAACTCACAATTGAATGTTTTATAAACTCACAATTGAATGATTCATAAACTCACAATTGAATGTTTTATAAAAACACAATTGAATGTTTCATAAACTCACAATTGAATGTTTTATCAAAACACAATTGAATGTTTCATAAACTCACAATTGAATGATTCATAAACTCACAATTGAATGTTTTATAAACTCACAATTGAATGATTCATAAACTCACAATTGAATGTTTTATAAAAACACAATTGAATGTTTCATAAACTCACAATTGAATGTTTCATAAACTCACAATTGAATGTTTTATCAAAACACAATTGAATGTTTTATAAAAACACAATTGAATGATTCATAAAAACACAATTGAATGTTTTATAAACTCACAATTGAATGATTCATAAAAACACAATTGAATGCTTCATAAAAACTCAATTGAATGATTTATCAAAACACAATTGAATGCTTTATCAAAACACAATTGAATGCTTTATCAAAACACAATTGAATGCTTAAAAAAAAACACAATTGAATGCTTTATCAAAACACAATTGAATGCTTTATCAAAACTCAATTGAATGATTTATCCAAACACAAATGGCTAGTGTACAATCAAATAATATCGCTAAATTAACAAACTTAAACTTGAGTGATACATGAAAGGTGATTATTGCAGTCAAGGTATAAGTATGATGTTAGTAGTAGCTTGATATTGTGAAGATGTACAGAGGCCTGCCAATATTTTTCTTACTTTCTCAATTGTTAATTGCCTCATTATATGTTTAATCACCTCATCAACCAAGATCAAAGATCTGAACCTTTGCACTTGGGAAGGATGGGAATCTTATATATAGCTTTCACAAAAATTTATCTAAATTATGATATCCATTTCTAAAGATCTTCGTTCCATACAATATTTGCAAGCAATTGTCACCTTCTTTATACATTTGCAATAGTAACCTTCTTTATATATTTGCAATAGTAACCTTCTTTATATATTTGCAATAGAAACCTTATATAATATTTGCAATAGAAACCTTCTTTATATATTTGCAATAGTAACCTTCTTTATATATTTGCAATAGAAACCTTATATAATATTTGCAATAGTAACCTTCTTTATATATTTGCAATAGTAACCTTCTTTATATATTTGCAATAGTAACCTTCTTTATACATTTGCAATAGTAACCTTCTTTATATATTTGCAATAGTAACCTTCTTTATATATTTGCAATAGTAACCTTCTTTATATATTTGCAATAGAAACCTTATATAATATTTGCAATAGTAACCTTCTTTATATATTTGCAATAGTAACCTTCTTTATATATTTGCAATAGTAACCTTCTTTATATATTTGCAATAGTAACCTTCTTTATACATTTGCAATAGTAACCTTCTTTATATATAAGCAATTGTCACCTTCTTTATACATTTGCAATAGTAACCTTCTTTATATTTGCAATAGTAACCTTATATAATATTTGCAATAGTAACCTTCTTTATATTTGCAATAGTAACCTTATATAATATTTGCAATAGTAACCTTCTTTATATATTTGCAATAGTAACCTTCTTTATATATTTGCAATAGAAACCTTATATAATATTTGCAATAGTAACCTTCTTTATATATTTGCAATAGTAACCTTCTTTATATATTTGCAATTGTAACCTGGTGAAATTTTCTTCAAATTATGGATGGATAGACAACCATTAGTGTAAGTTAAAGCTATAAATCTTATCAATACCCATACACGCATACAAGGGCAGCCTCCTTGAAATTGGGGGTACAAATATAGGGCAGACTTGTTAGCAGCTTAGCCACAAATCTCCCTCCAAGGGTCTGCCCCATACAAATTTTTCATGATAAAATTGATTTGGTACATTCTGACACATCATTTGGGGCAAATGACTCACAATTACAAGTCTCGAAGCTATACAAATCATATTTTAAAATTTGAGTAGAAATAAAGAGGGTTTCAATTGGGGCATATAAACAATTTTTTTTGCGGGTTGAATGCCTTCCCTTCCTCTATTTCCCCAATGTTCAAGAGATAAAATACCTCATCTGTGTCCAGTATTCAGACCGTAGTTTTTGGCCATACAAAATGAAAATTTTTTTTTCTACTTTCAATTAAAAATTGTAGTATATGTATTTTCGGTGGGGAAATGGTCCACCTTAACTATTGCAATCTAAAATTGCAAAGGGACATTGAGTTAGATGGCCCTTCAATCTATGAAGACCTTGCTAGCCAATCTCTGTGTCATCTTAATCCACCTATAAGTTTAAATGACACATCTGACAAAATACAAACAGTTAATGATACAATGTTGAGTTCAAAATTACAGTGTAGTTTACTGCATTGAAAATATAACGTTTATATCACACAAACCTTACAATTAACTTGATAGAGCAGAACATTACTTGTCAGCCGATATCATCATTATACTTCTCCTTATTTACATCATCTTTTAATTCGACACTTTCCTTAAACAAACTCATCAGGTGTGACCAAAAACTACCGTTATCTTTATTTATATATATAAAAAAATAATTCTGCATAATACGAACGGCTTCTTCGCAATTTCATGCAGATATTTTGAAGTATATACCACAAATGGTAATAATTGTGAATTAAAAAGATCTAAAAACACAAAATTTCAACACTCACCACGTTTTTCGAAACATTGGCAGAGATAAACGTGTTTTTGTTGGTTAAAGCCTTTTACACTATCGTATCTCTTCGCTCCGCCATTGTATATGCTAGTCACGTGACTTACTCCAGATGACCTGAAAATTAAATGAAGACGTTAGTTAAAGTCACTGTGTGTCAGTTATCAATCAGGACAAGAATGGTCAATAGTACCTTCATCAGCCCCGTCACCAGGAATGAATTGGTGCTGCGGCTCAGATTTTGTACTCAGAAAATCTGAAAAATTAAAGACCCAGAAACTCATCCCTGACAATTTTGAGTTGCCAAAAACGTATCAAAATCTATATCTTTTTGATTTTGTACAAAGACACTGTAAATTAATCAATCTCTGCTGAACTAAAGAAGGTTTCGCTGGGGCCCAGCTCCCACGGACCCCACCCTGACGGCGGGGCTGCTTCATCTTATACGTTGACTATACAATATTGTATTATAGAAGTGTGTAAATGTTCGGAGGGATCTAAATGTTCGGAGGACCTGAATGCTCCCTTATCCGAGAATACAACAAAAAGTCAACTCTTAACATGCTTCGTGATTAGATTATACGACAAGAAAAAATTGTACCTCAGATAAATTTTATTGCTGAGTTCTATTTGCGTGTGGTAGTCCAATGACCTTGAATAAGTCATCTTCACTCATAGTTCCAGTCGCAGCTGTATATGGGTACGGATAATCCGGGAAAGATCAATGCCAGGAGGTTTGGCCAAGGACCAACTGGTAAAAAGGATACTTAAAGTGATACTACGTCTTAGAATTATCACAAAATTGAAGTTCTCAGAATAGAATAGAATATAATAGAATGACTCCTCGAATATGCTTCAAACTAGCAATTTACCTTTTTTTTCTATATTATGTCTCTGCTATATATGCAAGAAAAGGCGGATCGTCATTTTAACTTTCAAACACAGGTAATTCAGGACACACGCGGATTTGAAAGCTTTCAATTCGACAATGCGCTGTGAAAAATATTACCAATTAACCTGAAATATACAATTGTACAAAATGATGTTCGTTTAAAGAGTCAGCAAATCTCGGACTAAAGTTGAACGGACAGCTGGTGCTATAACAATTAATTACAAACTAAACTGAGTGTAATTATAAAAGTAATGAAAATGGAAAATTGACTATTTTGTGTTTATGAACTAGAGATGAATCGAACAAACCCCACTACAATGATTACTATGGCAGGTGTCTCTTATCATAGCTAGGCGGAACAGGTTTAAAAATTTAGCAATTAGTTGTGAACAAGAGCTTTCCATTTCGGACTACCTAAACGATCGTAAACACATTCATAGAGTTATGAACTTATGAACACATTATATAAAGCATTAAATATTTGCTTTGCCAGAAGCTGACAGCTCGATTGCAGCAGTGTTACTACATAGTTATAAATTCCAGTACCGTGTTCGCCTGCAATTCAAAACAACACACTGATTATCATAAGTGTCCTGTTTCTGTGACCTCATTTAAACCATATTTAAGATTTTATGTCTCTAGCAAAATGATCTGATATCAGAAATATGAAATCTGAAATGAGGAAACAATGTTAAGGTCAGTTGAGAAAATTAATCAACAAATATGGTCTGAAAAGAATAGTTTTATCAAGAGTACTTTCCCCTTAACCACGCTCTTCATAATAGAGGGCGCTTATCTCCACAAGCAAAACAGAATCCACAGTGCTAAATTTGAGTAAATTTATTACGCTTTTCCTGATTAATTTTGTTTGTATTAAGTTGTAAGATGACCAACCAACTTAATTAGACGCTCAAGAATAAAACGCTTGAAGAAGCAACTGTTGCTTGCCTTTTTATTCTTGGTGTTTTGTGTTTTCCTTTCTCCCCGTTTTCAGAAATCCACTTCCGGTTGGTTTGTGGAACCGAACCGTCACATTATGTCCATAGAGGTACGTGTAATAAATGGGCCTATCGGTTATTTTTTTTAATACTCGGAATTTTCAGCAAAGATATAAGCTAGATTATCCACTTTTCTTAATATTTATGTGCTCTTTTCCATTTTAATTGTTGTCTGTTCAGTGATGTAGCCAGCGAACACTCTGCTGAGTCTGGCTCTGCAAACTGACATGATGCCATTGGCATTGACATTGTTGGCTTTTCAGCCGAATTTCAAGAAGGCATACTTGCCCTGGCGTAGTTCTGCAGGGACTTACATGAAGAGATCACATACAATTTAAGTCTTGGCTATGTATTGTGAATTAATGTGATTTAACTGTGAAAATAAAATGTTGATTTTGAATGAGTGTTTAAAATAGGGGCTGTCATTTTCATCTGAGAAGTTAATCCTGCATGCTGTTATAATTGTTTAAAGAAGTCTGACATATAGTTAATTTTGACAGTGACAGTTATGGAAGCATGTGGATCAAGTCTGGATAATATATTGTATGAGTCTTAGCAAGGGGGTGTCTGAATCCCATTTGTCTATAATATTTTGCAGATTAATTGATTTGTCTACTTTAGAGTAGGAGCTAAAGTCTTGCATTTTTGTCATTTATAGAATTTCAATTACATGTGACAAATACAGTAATAACTTTTGTTAAAATTGCACTGCAAATTTCAAATCTATTAATGTACCTGTAGTTATTAAACCTTTGCATTGACTTTTAAATGTCCTGAGATAAGTCAACTGAAACATTTGAAAATTTTATTTTGAAAATTGAAAAACAAAGTTATCAATTGGTAAAGCACAAACACTGTTAGTAGCTACAAATGTATTTACCATAGTTAAGAGTTATTAATGTCACTAAATATCCAGTCTTGAAATTTAAGGATAACTTCTCAGTTGATATGGAAGGGGAAAATGGGATACTTTCTTAGGTTTATTAAGAATGGAGAAAGCTGGCTAATCATGCCAGGTTTGCTGCAGTTAATGTGCTGAAAAAGACAGTCTTGAAGGGTAATGATTCGACTTTCATTAAAAATATTTAGTAAAAGTGACCGTGCAAGCTACTTTTAATTCAACAAGAGCTATAAAACATTCCTATAGACGTGGACAGTTTCCATCCTTATTTTTCTTCTAATGTCATTAGTGACAGCAAACAAAGTATTGTCAAACATATTTCACCAACAGTTTACCTTTTAATCCAGAAAATTGTCAAAATATAGTTCACTAGTAGCATGCATAGTCACTTTAATCTTTGATTCACACTGTGTGATGTTATACTTCTTTGCTATTTGAATAAGGATTCTGGTTAGTACAATTCAATGAGACCAAATGTTATACATAGTTGAAATATTTCTAGGAACAAGGGTATATAGCTGATAAGCTTGCTAAAGCTGAGAAAAGAATAAAAGCTTTTCCCTATGATACGGAAGCATGGAGTATATTGATACGAGACGCACAGGTAAATATCTGAAGATTCTGTTAAAAACTGGACCTGAATATAAATGCTGTTTTTTACACTGTGTTAAATGTTACATAGTAAAAACTCATGATGGTAAAAATCTTTATAGATAATGACAGGTCATATAATCTAAAGCAACTATATCAAAAAGTGAGATATAAAACAGCATTTCAGTTCATTAACTCGTAGGTGCCCTAAAGTGGAATACACTATTCATTAATGAATCACCATATTAAGACTGTTAAAATCTATTTTATTAATTGAATTTTAGATGAAAAAGATAGAAGATGCAAGAATAACATATGAGAAATTGGTGGAACAGTTTCCGAACGCAGGCAAATATTGGAAGATCTATATTGAACATGAGGTTTTTAGTTTCCATTTTTTCAACTTTTGTATTTTAATAAGTTTTCTAAAATATTTGCAATTAGTAATGATGGTCTTCAATGCCACTGTTGAGTTGAAAAATGAATAAATTTTTGCCGATAATATTTTTTTTTTGAGAAACATCTCTTCAAGAGGTCAAAATATTTGACCCAGGAGCATGTTGAAATTTTTAATGGCCAACAATTCCAATTTCTGTAAGTTTTGTTTTTGTAACATCTAAAAAAAAAAAAGTATTTGAAATAAATTATTTTTAGTGATCGCCTAAATACAATATATGAAACCAAATCAAAAATGTTTATTTTTTTTATTGAGTTTGTATAAAACGGTACCAAAATCTTTCCTTGTTGCGTCTTTTGTTCTTGTTTGTTGTCTTATTGGGTTTGGGGAATTACTGAATTAGTGAGAGATGTGTGGTTTGAGTGCTTGAAGGCCCCTCCTGAAATTTCATATCTGCAGTTTTCTCTATTATTTATTTATTTAGCAATGATATTAACATTTATAAAATGTTTCAATTTATATTTGATTTACTCGTCACAGTAATACAGCGCACTATTTGGCCTCTTTCAAATGTTGTTTATAGGAATGTGTTATTTCAAATCTATATAGCCAAGTACCTATAAGAGCTGAAATGGCTCAGCAAGTTTGATGATTGTTGGCTCTCATGAAGGTGCAGAGTTACAGGGGCTGAAATGCCTAGCTGCCCATACTGGACCATAAAATGGAACCACATAGCTTTGCTGGTCTGTGTCGAACAACAATTCTTTTTTCCTGCTTTTAAAAAAGATCTGAGTGAATGATTGTGAGGATGGTGTGAAAAAAATGTGTGATTGATTTGAAAATCATTGAAATCTTTTATTATTGAGTACATTTGAATGTCATGGAAACAAAGTATGAAAAAAGTGAATGAACTTAATCATAACAATTTACAGCTACACATGTGCAGACAATACAACTGACCTGCTTTTATACGCCCACATGGAAATGTGGAGGTATATTTCTGTTGCCCCTGTCCGTCTGTCCACATTTCTTGTATGCACGATCAAGGCTACAGTTTTTATTCGATCCTGATGCAACTTGGTATGCATGTAGATATTGATGAGATCCTGGTCAAGTTCGAAAATGGTAATAATTGGATCAATGGTTTTGGAGTTATTGCCCTTGACTTAGTAAAAACCCTTCAAATTTGGCTTGTAGGCATGATAGAGACTACAGTTTTTATTTAATCTTGATGAAATTTGGTATGCATGTATATATTGAGATCCTGGTCAAGATCGAAAATGGTAATAATCGAATGATCGGTTTCAGAGTTATTGCCCTTGACTTTGTAAAAACGCATCAAATTTGGCTTGTAAACACAATAGCGGCTACAGTTTATAACCGATCTTGATGAAACTTAGTATGCATGTATATATTGATGAGATCTCAGTCAAGTTCGAAATTTGTATTAATTGGATGATCAGTGTTGGAGTTATTGCCCTTGACTTAATATAAACGTGTCAAATTTGGCTTGTAGGCACGATAAAGGCTACAGGTTTTAACCGATCTTAATGAAACTGGGTATGCATGTATATATTGAATTTCGAAATTGGTATTAATCCGATGAACGGTTTCAGAGTTATTGCCCTTGTGTGTATGTCGATGAGACCTTGTTCATGTTTGAATTTCAGTGATAATTTGATGTAACTGTTTTTGAGGTTTTGCCATGACTTTAAATGATTCTAAGATTATTTCAATTTTTATAAGTTCATTAATTAAGTCACCAAAGACTTTGCTATCATTTCTGACAGCTGGTAGTGGGCATATGTTACCTTGCTTGGCAAGCTATCTTTATAATTGACATATAAGATCAAACTTCAGACTAATCTTTATCTTCAGTTTTTTTTTACTTTTAAGTGAAGCAAATATATTGGAGCACATTCAGACACAATTCAAAACATAAAACTGAACAGTCTATTTTGTTGAGACAGTTACTGAAACCATGCAAGTCATACTTATATTGTGTTCAATACTGCAAAACTTCCGGAAAGTAAAATAATGGACTGCTTGTGTTAATGTGTTGATTCAGACACAAATATTGTTGCTCAACTATATCATCCAGTAGACAGTTTATTATCACTCTATAAATGATACCTGAAATAGATTTGAGCCATAACATATACATGTCAAAATATTCTTTATTTAGTGTAGGGTGTTAGATACTCTGCTATAGGTCACAAGTAGCAACTATGGATTTCAGTATTAGAATATTAATTTCATAAGAAATTATTTACTTCCGGACATTTTTACAAGAATTTAGGGTTGAAGTCTTTCTTTGCTAAAGATCTGAAATGAGCCATGTAGCTTGCTTGGCCCATGGTGACTATTGGACTCATTTAATGTTTACTACATTAATTTTGACTCTAATAGTTTGATGATGGGACAAATGTGTCAAAGTCAAATTTTAATTTCTGTCTGTTTTTTTTAATTTACAGTTAAAACAGAAAAATTACGAGAGAGTAGAAAAGGTAATTATGATTTTTTAGCACACCACCAGGAATAGTTCTACAACTCTGGCCCTGCCCAGTTCTTAAGATGTGATATTCAGATGTGATATACAGACTTCATAATTATACACAATTACACACCATAGTGATGGTTGCACATACATAATAGTAGCAGTTATAAGTTTAAAGCACAACTCTCATGGAACAGAGTGGTGTGCTGCAATCAAATCTTATGACCGCTTTCATTATTTACAACCAGATGTAAGTGGTAATCACTATGGTGTGAAGTCACCTTATGCCAGTCAGTGGTTGTTTGACTTAATCTGGCAAACAATTTGAAATTATATCCCTTTCTGTTTTTTTCAGTTGTTTCAAAGATGTCTGATCAAGGTGCTAAATATAGAATTATGGAAGTTATATTTAAGTTATATCAAAGAAACCAAGGGTTCTCTCCCTTCTTACAGGTATTACTATTTTGTGACAAAAGTAATGACTTCGACATACAGTTACTTTTGTTGAAAGAAAAAAACCCACTATTTTAAACAAGTTTAGAGTTGGTTAAATTGTATTTAAAGTCATTCAATTTGATGCAGTAGAAATTAAGGTGAAGAATAAGTTCTGCTGGAGCAAGACTGTTGATTTCGCTATATTTTGCAGACATAACTGCAAGGACTAGGCAGCTCAAATGTCTGAGGATCACAAGCCAAACTGTTAAGCTAAAAACTTGATTGTTAGATTGCCTTTTATATCATTTACCCAGATATCCCTTAAACAATACAGAATTCCCTTTATTTTGTTCATCATTTCAGAGAGAAGATGGCTCAAGCCTACGATTTTGCTCTAGAGAAGATTGGTATGGATATACAGTCATATCATCTATGGGCAGAATATATCCACTTTCTAAAATCAGTGTAAGCATTTCTTTTTATATTGAAACAAGAAATAATTGGAATTTATGATGAAGTGGGGGAAATCTGAGCTATTAGACTTATTTACTGGATATATTAAAACATAACTTGAATCATGTTTTTACCCAAAGTTTTACGCTATGCAATCTTCTGATAACTGACTTATAGTCAGCTGTTATCACCACTCAGCACTATTTTAACAGTGAAAATATTTTATTGTTTGACTTATTTACTGTGCATTTTTACTGTGTATCTATTTTATTAAAAAAATAAGAACACTATTATGGATATACTACTCCTTCCTTATCTGTTTTATTGTCAGCTCAGTTAAAGCTGAATATTATGGTGAAATGTTATTGCAACTAAATGAAGCTCCTAAAACAAGAGTTACTCACATTATTATTAAAAACAGAATTATTAGAAATTAATTTGATGAAATCCTATATCTTTCAGTGATGCTGTAGGATCATATGCTCAGAATCAGCGTATAACAGCAGTACGTAAAGTATATCAGAGGGGAGTGGTCAATCCTATGGTTAATATTGAAATACTGTGGAAAGAATACTGTAATTATGAAACTGTAAGTAAGGCAGAGAGATTCAATTTAAATCAACCACATTACAACAATTATTACTCAATCATCTAATAGTATCTATTTCAATTAATGTTTTACCTGTGTCTTTTGAATCCAAATTTATCAAATTAATAAACTACATCATAAAGAAAAGCATGTGCATATGATATGACACTAATAGTTTTGTAATCATTTTGACTTGTCAAAAATTTTATAATGAAAACAACTGAGAAATCAATGGTGAATCATACATATTCTAGTGAGATAAACTACATAATGTACACAAGATATTAGGATATTGTCAGATTCAACTGAAGTTTTTAACTCTTAATTTTGTACCGAGTCTGAATGAGTTTCTTTAAATATTCTTTGTATATTACAGAGTGTGAATCCATTAATAGCCAAGAAGATGACTGAAGATAGAGGTAGAGAGTATATGAATTCTAGACGTGTTGCTAAGGAATATGAGGTGGTAACTAGGGGTTTAGATAGAAATTCGCCTTCAGTTCCACCACAGAATTCACCAGGAGAATCAAAACAGGTCAGTTCATGTTTAGTTAAAAAACTCTATATATTTTTGTTATGCCATTGTCTTCTGAAGAACTAAGGTACTGTGAAACTATTATCTTATATCATTGTCTCCATAAATACGCAAATGTCTTTTTGATAGTGTCTGAAATTACAGACAGAAAATCAGAAGGGTGCAATTATAAGATGTATAAATGTGCTAATGCACAAATATATACAACGGCCATGCAAACCCTGTACATTCTGTTAATCCTCTCTTTCAAACCAATTGTTCAGATGATTCTCAACAGATGTTGATAGTATGTGAGAGTCCTTACCAATGACCTTATTTATTATTCCAGGTTGAGTTATGGAAGAAATATATAGCATTTGAAAAAGGAAATCCACTACGAACTGAAGATCATACACTTATTACTAAAAGAGGTAAGTATTTATAGGAATTTCGTTTACCTCTTATCATTTAAACTCAACCAATGTCAGTTCTCAAAATGGCAAATGACCATTTTATAGAGTGCTACCTTTACTTTTCTTCTAGCATGATGCACATTTAGAAATATTTAAACAGAAACTAAAACATGTTACTCCCTAGGTTAACTCTGTCATCTTCAGACAACTGATCTATTCTAGCCTGTATCCCTACTGAAGTTCGGCAAGCACATTCATATAGATTTGAGGAATTCTTGCCTGTTTAGTTCTGATATTTTGACTAATGGTATAATATTAAATCAGATACTTTATGTATGACTTTTTCGAAGTAGTGTATAAAATGTCACATTTCTAAAGTATAATGAACAGAATATACATGTCACCTAAATTTACCTTACATTGTCGTTTTAAAATTTCAGTAATGTTTGCATATGAGCAGTGTTTATTAATTTTAAAATTTCAGTAATGTTTGCATATGAACAGTGTTTATTAATTTTAAAATTTCAGTAATGTTTGCATATGAGCAGTGTTTATTAATTTTAAAATTTCAGTAATGTTTGCATATGAGCAGTGTTTATTAATTTTAAAATTTCAGTAATGTTTGCATATGAGCAGTGTTTATTAATTTTTAAAATTTCAGTAATGTTTGCATATGAACAGTGTTTATTAATTTTAAAATTTCAGTAATGTTTGCATATGAGCAGTGTTTATTAATTTTAAAATTTCAGTAATGTTTGCGTATGAACAGTGTTTATTAATTTTAAAATTTCAGTAATGTTTGCATATGAGCAGTGTTTATTAATTTTAAAATTTCAGTAATGTTTGCGTATGAACAGTGTTTATTAATTTTAAAATTTCAGTAATGTTTGCGTATGAACAGTGTTTATTAATTTTAAAATTTCAGTAATGTTTGCATATGAACAGTGTTTATTAATTTTAAAATTTCAGTAATGTTTGCATATGAACAGTGTTTATTAATTTTAAAATTTCAGTAATGTTTGCGTATGAACAGTGTTTATTAATTTTAAAATTTCAGTAATGTTTGCATATGAACAGTGTTTATTAATTTTAAAATTTCAGTAATGTTTGCATATGAACAGTGTTTATTAATTTTAAAATTTCAGTAATGTTTGCATATGAGCAGTGTTTATTAATTTTAAAATTTCAGTAATGTTTGCGTATGAACAGTGTTTATTAATTTTAAAATTTCAGTAATGTTTGCATATGAACAGTGTTTATTAATTTTAAAATTTCAGTAATGTTTGCGTATGAACAGTGTTTATTAATTTTAAAATTTCAGTAATGTTTGCGTATGAACAGTGTTTATTAATTTTAAAATTTCAGTAATGTTTGCATATGAGCAGTGTTTATTAATTTTAAAATTTCAGTAATGTTTGCGTATGAACAGTGTTTATTAATTTTAAAATTTCAGTAATGTTTGCATATGAGCAGTGTTTATTAATTTTAAAATTTCAGTAATGTTTGCGTATGAACAGTGTTTATTAATTTTAAAATTTCAGTAATGTTTGCGTATGAACAGTGTTTATTAATTTTAAAATTTCAGTAATGTTTGCATATGAACAGTGTTTATTAATTTTAAAATTTCAGTAATGTTTGCGTATGAGCAGTGTTTATTGTGTCTGGGACATCATCCTGATATTTGGTATGAAGCAGCAGCATTTCTTGAACAATCCAGTAAAATATTGGTTGAAAAAGGAGTAAGTTTTGTTTCCTTGAATTATCTTCTTTAGTACTATGGATCACTGAAATATTGTTAAAAAATATGTCTATTGCCAAGTGTTTACTAAAGGATGTCTTTGAAATATTTGCATGGTCATTGACACCATGTAGTTAAAAATAGTTGAAATAGGAAAGTTATCTTTCCAATAAAATAAATAATTGAAAGCTTATGTCTCCAATGACATCATTTTTTTCTGTAAACTATTCCCATCCTAGTCTTTCGAAACCTCCTGTATTACTATACTGGTAAAATGTCAGATTGGATACTGTCATCATTTAGCCAACTGAGGAGGACAAATGTTCGACATAAAACACGTATATGGTCGGCACCCCTGTCAACATTTGCTTGTAAACGCTCTAAGAACCTGATTTTTTGAACGAATCAAATGAAATTCGGTATGTGTATATATATTCGTAAAACGAAGATCAAGTTCGAATTTGAGCTATTTTTGACCGTTAGAAGCAGAGTTGTCGCCCTTGCCCAAAAATCTTGAATATTTATCATCCGCATGCCATGGTGGGTGTATATGGCTGTGGTCCACTATCTTATTCAAAAATGTCTCAATGATAATCTCCATTTAACCCCTGACTGAAAATTGATTAACATATATCTCTTTTACCCTATTTCAGGATCAGAATGCTGGTAAAATGTTTGCCGATGAGGCAGCGGCTATCTATGAAAGAGCTGTATCATCACTAATGAAAAAAAATGCCCTGATATATTTTGCGTATGCTGATTTTGAAGAAGGTCGTATGAAGTTTGATAAGGTTCACAGTATATATAAAAGATTTATAGCTCTTGATGATGTAGATCCAACTTTGGTATGTAAATTTCTTTAATTTACCTTTCTTTTTAAACTTTTGCTTTGAACATATGTAATTGCTTTTTTTTTCTGTCCTTCAAAATGTTGTCCCTCAAATTCTTGCACAAATGAGGAAGACATTTGCTAGGGCGTAGAAAATATCCAGCTCATATCTTGTGTTCTTTGAAAGTTTGAAATCATTGGCAAATGAAGAAACGAACAAGAATTATTGTTTGATCTTTCTTTATTTGTTTCTAAGTTTTCATAGCAACTTTAGATATAGATATATGACAAAAATATTTTCCGTGACATATTTTGAAGTTTATTTTAATTCTCTGTATAAACTTGGTAATAATTGTGTAATTGTTTTTGCTAGGCATATATCCACTATATGAAGTTTGCTAGAAGAGCAGAAGGTATAAAAGCTGCTAGAACTGTATTTAAAGGTGCTAGAGAAGATAAAAGAGCTAATTATCAAGTGTATGTGGCAGCCTCTCTCATGGAATATTACTGTAGCAAGGTATGTACAATTTCTTCTTAGATATTCAGTAGGTTAGACCATTATTGAAGGACTATTTGAACCAAATAACATCATCATACAAGTCACATAGCTTAAACTTAAACATGTTTCAGGTTCTGTTTTAGTAATTGTTGTTTTGAGCACTCAGGATTGTAAGTATGTTGTTATCATTCAAAGACTAAGCTATAAGAGCTATGGTCTATTCTTGGCTTTAATGAACCATACTGTAATATTTTTGAAATTTTTAAATTGAATTTTGTTCTAATTTCACAAAATATGATGTATTTACAGGAGAAAACTGTAGCTTTAAAGATATTTGAATTGGGATTAAAGAAATTTGGCCAGGAACCTCAGTATTGTTTGGCTTATATAGATTTTATGGCCAGTTTAAACGGTAAGACTGGACTTTCAAATAAGCCTATGTACAGTTGTTTGTTTTAATATAGAGCTGTTTCAGCACAATGTTTTATCTTCCCTTCAGTTACATACTAATGTATATATAAGATTTGAACGACAGAAGCACATATAACAAAACACAAAACAATATTATGGAATATAACACACTTCTTTAATAAGGTTAGGCACATAACGTTTCAACACAATATACACATGTGTTATATTCCATAATATTGTCTTGTGTTTTGTTATAATATGGATATTTATTTTAGATTTGACCCAAATGTGTAAAAATATCCTGATAACATTAGTTTTTTGTAACACTTTTTTGTTTTGTAGAAGATAACAATACTCGTGTCCTGTTTGAAAGAATTTTATCATCTGGTCAACTTCCTCCAGAAAAATCCATGTAAGTTTATACTTCTTGTTTACTTTTTGTGTTAACATCATAAGATGTTTATAGTGTTGCTGTCATCTGATTGGCCAAATACTACAATTGACTTTTAGATTTATCATTGAAAATGCAATTCATAGAATGGGATGGCTCAAAAAATGAAAATGAAATGAATTGGGTTTTATGTCCTACTTTTCGGTACTTAATTGGGCTAATCAAAACGGGCAACGCCATGCAGTGTGTAGTGTTGGAAATTTTGCGAGGAAAGCGTCATTAGCCTACTCATTTTGTATTTCCAACTTTCTAGGGGTCTGTAACGTGCACAGCTTGTAGCATACAGGGCCTCGGTTTATTGTCCCATGGGATGGCTCAGCTATCAGTAATTCATACAGAGTTCGCTATCCGAGTGTAGTATCAAATGATAACATGTTTTTCAGTGAAATATGGAGCCGGTTTTTATCTTTTGAATCACAAGTCGGAGATTTAACTAGTATTATTAAAGTTGAAAAACGTAGAACACAAGTCATAGAAAAGGTAAGGTTCAATGATAACATTTCCACTAATAGTTTTTATTCAACATTAACTTTGTATGGTCAGATAGACTGATGCTCCTATTACAGTTCAATTTGTTTTTGTTTTAACCCAAACATTCAATAAAAAATTTGATGGAGGCTGTCATCATTCACAATTGACCTACAACATCTTTAGGTGGTCAATGATTGGCGTCACTAATTGCAAAATCTACTTCATGACAAGCGCTTGCGATTAGTGATGTCATCAAATACTTGGATTTAGTGGAATTGCAATAGCCACAGACATCTGACTGAAAATTGGAATGGTGCAAATTGATGTCTCTGATACATATAAAAGATTAAGAAAACCTCTTTAGAATCCCTCTTTAGAATCCCTTTAATTTATAAAGAATGACTGGGGTTGCCACAAGTTAAGGATGTAATAAGGTAATATGGCTGTAATTATATGAATATTGGTCTGTTTCCTTAAAAAGCTTATATGGGGGATTAATTTCCTTAGAAACATCATTTATATTTCATTATTACAGATAAAAGAATTCCAAGAGAAAGAAACAGCATTATTAATAGATAGATATAAGTATATAGATCTCCTACCATGTTCTGATGGTGAATTAAAAGCTTTAGGCTACTGGGTATGTTACTTTCTTATTTCTTGTACCTCAGACTTATGTAAGAGAGCCGAGGTGGCTAAGAGAGTTAGATACTTTCCTACTAACCTGAAGGTCCAGGGTTCAATCCAGGCATAGGTTTGAGATAATACATTCGGATTTTTCGACTCGGTTTCCCCCTTGTCAGTGATGCAGGTAAGAGGGGCTGGTATGTAAAAGTGTCTAGTCATTCGTATGTGACAATAAAAAAGGCCCAGTGTGCTACAGGCTGTACACGTTAAAGATCCCTCGACAGTTGGAAATCGAAAAAGATCAGACTAATGCCCCTGTCCTGGCAAAATTATCCTCATTGCACACTGCACAGTCTTCATTAGCCCAATTAGGTGCATAAAAGTAGGACAAAAATTCCATTAATTTCAGATTTATGCAATAGATAATGTTTTAGAGGTTAAGGAGTGAGGGGAGCTACCATGCCCACTTCTTAACCTCTAAAAGTTTACATAATATCATCTGACATGGCTGGTGATTGATGGGTAATTCTGGGTTCTGCCTTTTTCAAGAACCAGCTAGTAAAAAATACCCTTTGTGAAGTTGTTACCCTTGTAAAATTTAGTTGTTTCTCTCTCTTCTTCTGTTTTTGTGTTTTTGATACAGTTCTAAATGTGTCTGATATTTGTAGGATCTGATGAAGCACAATGTATTACCAGTGTCATTAGATGTTGTTAAACAAGTTATGATAAATGGGGCAGCTGATGATGACGATAACCCGAAATTCCCTAAACCTGATTTAGATCAGTTACTTCCCTTTAAACCTAAATGTATAGCTCGTAAGTAGTTGTTTCTTTATTGTTGAGGAGCTGCCATTGCTCATTGAGTTAGACCTTGCATCTGGTTGCTCAGATAGGAGAATAAACAAAGGACCTTTGAATTACAGGATGTGCACGATTCATCAATAGTTTGAAATTGAAAAAGAGAAGCTAATGCTACTGTCCTGGCATATTTCCCTCACTTCATGAAAAAGAATATATTATAACAATGATTATACATACAGGATGAATCTAACGACCACCACGCTGTTTATAAACTAAACTCATGCACTCAGTCATGCTCCTGTCCACTCAAGCGTAATCTCTCTACCTGTCCATATTTGACAATCAGTGTTAACACTTCACACCGCATGATGATGTCTTAACAGGCCTAACCCTGCCTCTATGTCAATACACATATATCAGCATTATAATTTACTTTGTCTGTTATTTCAGCTTTTGGTGCCCATATAGTACCTGGTGGAGTATTTCAGATGCCTTTACAAGCTAATGATTTAATAGCTATTTTACCTCCTCCCAACTGTTTTAATGTAAGTAAATATTATATAACAAATTGATTGATTTTTCATTACCTAGACCCTCGCTTTTTATGTAAATTTTACTCTCATATACTAATATAATATTAAACAGATGTAACCTGTGTATAACTGAAAAGCTTTCTATCTTTAATGCCCCTTAGCACACTTCTTTCAACAAAGCTTTTGAACTTGTCTTGAAATGTAGTCATATATTTGTAACACTATTCAACAAAAATTTGTACTAAAAAAATAGTTTGCTATCCCGTTATTATTGGGCAATAAAGACATTTTTATTTTCATGGTTTATTTGTAGGGTCCTTTTGTTATAATGGATAAATTCTTAGAACACATGAAACGGCTCAAAATACCAGACGGTGAGTAAATTCAATAACAATAATAGCATTCAATGTCCAGATGTTAAAGATGGGTTTCCTTATTTTTTAGTGTCAAATTAAGCAAACTATTTGATTAATTGGTGTTTCTACTGAATAATCATGTTTTCTTAATCATATCATTATGTTCTTATTGCATATAATTAAGAGTTTTAACCAAACATAAATATCCATGTATGTACAGTCTGGATAAACAAAAAAATACTTTTCGACCTTTCTTGATCAGTCACTCATTGGAATTCTGCTGGTAATTCTCTTCTAATTCAGCTAATTATGGACATGTGAGACAAACTGGTATATTTCCAAGTCATTAGAACATCTCTACTTTCTATTCATATAAGTATTAACATTTTCATTTTCGTAAATGGAAATAAGGGAACCCATCTTTAGCTTATGTTATTAACAACATGAATTTGTTTGAGTTTTTTAGTATTAATATGAATATCGATGAGATATCCCGGACAAATTTGATTTAGTATGATCAATGTTTTGGCCAAATGGGTCAAAATTGAATTGTGAATACAGTATTTAATCCAATTTTAAGTTATGTTATTGAAACATCAAGTATAAAATAGATTATAATCCTAAAGGGACATTTAGGGGTTAGAGATCACATTACATTGTACATGATGACAACATAGATTGTTGAAACGTTATGTACAATAAAACCCAGGAGTAGTATACTATATAAACTGATGATGACAATGTAAATTGTTGAAACCTGTACAATAAGAGAAGTAAACTATAAAATTATGTTCTAATTGTAAAAAAATCTTATTATCCAATTAAAGTTTCTTCTTTGAATTCTAGGACCAAGTGGAGTACCCAATGGAGTGAACGGAAAATTAAATTTAGATCTCGGAACTCGATATTCAATAGAAATAGCAGCAGGATTACGGAAACGAAAAGCAGCAGGAGATGCTGACAGTGATGATGAGGGTGGAACTGACCCGATGGCACCAGCTAATGACATTTACCGCAGTAGACAGCAGAAAAAAATAAAATGAAAGTAGAGGACATTACTATCAAACAAATTGAAAGTAGAGGACACTTATAAGATAAAGTGGAAGTATGGAACATTTCTATCAACATGAGTAAAAAAAAATTGAAAAGTACAAGACATAACTTTCAAACAAATTGGAAGTAGAATTCATTTAAGACAGTAAAAGTACAAAACGTAACCATCAAACAAAATGAAAGTTGAAGTTATTGAGTGGATAGAGTGAATTGTGCATTTATGTTTTTATTATGCTAATTGTTAAAGTGACTGTGGTAATGAAAAAACCCCTTTAAATTGTGTTTAATTTAAGATAACCATCAGATCCACTTTAAGACAATTTTTAAAGCAAATAGTAAAAAATTAAAAATTTTTATTGGTACTTACTACTTACAAACTGCTCTCGTTTGTGTTTGAATCAGCCTTTTATCTGCATCAATGCCTTTGCTTAACTACAATTTGACTTACTCTTTCTACAATTGAGTTTGTTTATTCAACATGTAAATAGGAAAGGTGGTTGTATCTTATTATTGTGTTAAATGTTCGAATGAAAACGTGCTCCAAGTTTTATGCGTGAAGATGTTTAGAAGATTAGCTTAGTCGAGTAAAAAATATTTGTGCTCATCTTTTAATGTTGAAAGGCTTCATCATGAGCAATCCACTTTATTGTTAGGTGTAGAATAAATAGTGATAAAACCACATGGGCTAGTCTTATATTGTGTGAATGACTATTTAAACTACCCAAAAATTAATGGGTATCTTCCCATAATGTGCAAAAATATTTTTGCTTGACTTTGCTTGTCTTATATGATCATCAGATGTTCGCAAACATCCAGTTGGATTACAGAATTTCATTTTAATGTTATCTTAAAAGTTGTTGATTGTTTATTTTTATTTGTCAATAATAAACATTTTGTATAAGAAATTGTTGTCTTCATTGTTGCTGACGGTATGTTAATGAGATATAGTACAGTCCCACATACTGAAAAGGGGACACAGTTTAAAATGACAATTGGGACTGTATGTCCAGGGCCTTCCTTGCTATTATAAACTCTACTGAAGTCATCCCTTTGTTCCGGAGGGATTTTATGACTCATAAATCCCAGGAACATTATACATAAAATCTCAGGGGTAATCATCTAGTCTATTTTTGATGACACATATCCATATCTAATATTTTAGTCGTTTTTGTCACCTGATTCGATAAGTTTTCGATTTGCTAGTACGATTTGCAAGTGGCCCACAAATGTGATACCAGCGATTAGGCAATATAGCTGACTGCACTGTCAACAAAAGAAGGTTGTCTATTAATATTAGCCAATGACATCTATGTTTATATAGACATCATTGATATAATTAGCCAATAGTATAAATTACCAATGACACCTAATCGAATCGCCTAACCACCTACTGGGATGGTTAGGTCGATTAGCCTAATCGGTTTAGGTAAACTGTCTCACAAATGTACTGATTAGCCTAAACGTCCTGGCTCACAAATGCACAAAATAGCTAATCGAATCGGGCGACAAACGACTAATGTCTAGCACACAGTTCTCCATCTGAACTGAGTAGATACAAATTCCACCCCAGAAAAGGTCTCAAGAATTGTTTGGATTTTTAAACAATAGAGATTACATTAACTCCCGTGGACACTATTAAGTCTAAGATGTGTTCGAGCATTTTTATTGTATAATGGGCCCCTAGCCCGTTGTCTACATCATCATTTACTTTCTCCTACTCCTCAAATACTTATCACATGACGTAATATTTCCTACTTCAAAACTAGGTCTATGTTATTTCCTATCTTCTATCATACATATCTGAGACAACAAATCAAAGAAAATATAACAATTTTCATATTTTTATTATAAAATGAAAAGTTATGTACATGTATTTACAAAAGTTTGGACTTTGATTTTATACTGCAATATGGTCAACAACACGTTATTTTGCCAATTGATGGTAATTATCAAACAAAAGCATGCAATTACTCAGAAATTGACGTCCTAGAGATTGGGGTAAACTCAGAATTGAAAGATACTTTTTTAATATATACAATCCAAACTAGTATTGGCCAAGACATGAGCCCATTCATTTTTAGTAAAACATTCAACTTCAGCTTATAATTTTTCCATACCCATCATAGACAATTCAAACCCATGACTCAAAAATACAAAAAGCCACCACAGAATCGATCAAATAATTATTTAGTAGCAAACTTAATTTCATCAAAGGCTTTTCTGGCTTTTCTGAGTTCTTCATTCATTAATAACAGTTCTTTGACACGAGAATATTTTTTAGGATCTTTACGAATGAGGAATATAATATCTTCCACTTGAATTCTTCCTGGCCTCCCGGTTTCCATGGCTTTCTTTGTCTGGAGAGAAAAATAACAATATTCAAAACAATTCAATGCAAAAGACCTAATGAAGATAACAATAGTTTGAACCTTAGAATTCATTCGTTACAAAAACGACTTGCATCTGTCTAATTGTTCATTAACTGAAACGCTTTTGCGCTGATTTTTAATTCATTCATTTCAAAAACGACATGCAATGCTAATATACTTCTTCATTAACTGTTATCCACCTAATGTGTGCAAGTATTATAAAAATCCTAATTGTAAATGGCAAGCAGACAGTTCAGGATGGTGGACTATGTGAAAGACAAGATGACAATAGGTTAAAAGCTTTGAACTTCTTCCTTTAATTTTAACAGAAGGATAATTTAATGCTGCTAAAATTAAAGGGTTGTTATCTGGTATTTATAAAGGTGTTCCAATTTTTCCAATAAACAATTTTTTAATTCGCATTGCTTCATTTTAAAACCCTGATAATAATATAACTAACCATTTCTGTGATGTATTCTATAACTAAGTCTTGTAGTAAATCAACAGATTCTGTATAGGGATTCTGATCATCTCCAAAACCATACATCATACATCTTACTGCAATAAAAATACATACATCTTACTGCAATAAAAATACATACATCATACATCTTACTGCAATAAAACCACAGGATATTATTCCAATTTATGGCCAATAATAACAAGTTTTCATACAAAAATTCACTACTATTGTTTGACTAAAAGCACGACTATTTGGTAATAGTAAACTTGGCCCATAACAAATATAGCCCCCAAGTCAGAAAGACTCCAAAAAGTAAAAACGATTCCAAACATTATTAAACTTAAAAATTAGGTCCTCTTGAGTTTATGCAGCCTTCACTTACATTCTTTAGAAAATATTTTCTTTCTCTTGTCCAATGGAGCATCTTCTTCTTCATCTTCAAACTGAAAACAAAACATATAAAACAGTGGCACTAGAGGGGGAAAGGTTTCAATAAAATTCAAGCAACAGCATCACTGTCAAAAAAGCCTTAAGATTTAGGATCCAACAATGAAAACATGTTCCTGCTACATGTCTTATATAAACTGGAGTGATAATATTAGCTGCACATGGTCTAGCCCACTACAGTTTTCGAATATACAGGGAAACCTCACTGATTAAATCTTAGCTTTGAAGGTAAAAGACCAGTGAGACTGAGAGTAAGTGAAAGCGAGAGAGGGGAATCTTTGCAACTGGTCCAGCCAAGAAGAATATGAAATAAGAATGGAATAAAAAAATAGTATAGGAGTCGAGTTGTTTTGCTGATATAAAGCGCAACCAACCTCTGTTCCTTGTTCCTTTTCACTATCTGCCATTCTAGAATGTTTTTAATGGAATATTTTATGAAAAAATAAATAAATTCTAGTTTTATTTGTTTTATGTTCAATACAGATCAAGAGAAGATAACTCACACGACTTACTCGCGTCTTATTCTACTTCCTGGCTTATGAAACAGCACGTTATGAAAGTCATTTGGTTGTTTTCTTCAGTATTCATTTGATTTATCAATAAAAATTAAGATGCCAGACGAAAAGAAATCCGAAGAAAAGAAATTGAAGCCATGCTGCGCCTGTCCAGAAACCAGAAAACCAAGAGATGAATGGTAAAGTGTATTGTTTGCCAATTTGTAGCAGAGGTTATCCTGTCATTGCAGACGAATTATTTCATCATATTTTGATTTGGACTTTACTTTAATTATGAGGATTGGAAGTTTAGCTTCCAAATAGGTATTATTGTTTTAAAATGGCGAGTTGACATGCCGACAGAACACATCTTTCAATGGCTGCTTTGACTTTCATTCAAAACCTCATGTGATTCAGAAAAGTTTGTAAAAGTCAAGTTACAGTAGAATTCACACTAATGATTCACAAGTGATCTAAAAAAATTTGTGAGTAGTGTTGACTTCATTTGAATTTTATTTTCAGTATATTATTGAAAGGAGAGGAGAATTGTAAAGAATTAATAGAAGCACATAAAGATTGTATGAGAAAAGCAGGGTTTAAGGTCTGATGAGCACTGTGGAATGAGAGGAATGAATGAAAGTGAGGGTAAGTTTTTTTGTGGACTTGTAAGATTTCTTAGACTGAATTATATTATAGGTCAATTGTCTGAAGATCGCATAGTGTGAAACTCTGAGTAACAACATCATTCAAGACTCATAAGACACGAAAAGAAGTAAAATTCATTGTTTTACCAGATTAGATTTAACAAATCATATTTATAAGCTGCAGAAGATCAAAGCTGTTTGTATCGCTGTGTTCTTTAATAGATTATTGTTTAGCATAAACATGACCATAACCAGCATTATCATAGCATTTAAAAGATTTTGTGTTTTTAAAGAGATTGCAAAGGAATGACTTATTCAAGGTCAACATATTTTCACTTGCATAACAAGATTAGAACTGACAACAGTATATTTGTAAAATCATTGTTACTGGTATTTGAAGATTCGTTTATTGTTATGAAATGCTGGTAGTGAGATAGTTTTGTAGTTATTGATGAAACTTCAAATACTGTGGTAAGACCAAGCATTTGTTTATCGTTAACTTGTCATTCAACATTTTCCACTTTTTGGTTTTGTTTTTTCAGATGGAGTGAATAAGGAAACTGAATGAATGGTGTTAAGAGTTTTATAGACTATGTACCAAACATTGTAATTAGTGTACTTTTAATTAGGAACCTTGAAAACTACATACACATATTTAAACTCATTTGTATATGTGTCACCTCTAGGCTACCAAATTGGTTCAAAGAGTCCAAAACCATACACAGTGATGTATTTAATATATCAGAAGGGTGGGCATATCCTGTCTTGTATATAATACCAATGTTAAAACCCTGCTTGGACATGTTCCAGACCTAACTTTCAGTTATTTTAGCATGAGAATACAAATTGACCACTTTCTGTTATGGATATCTACCTTCGCTAAAATATTCTATAATACCACATTTAGGCAAGGCATTTTAGAGCCTCCAGGCAAATATATTCCAAACAGCAATTAATATTGCAAATTGATAAACTTCTGAAAGATTTAGATTTGTGAATCTAATTATTCAATATAAGCATAATATCAGATACACATCAATGTAAATTGTTTGTTACTGTATATTTATTTCTATATCGTGTATTAGTATGGTTTTGTAATAAAATTGGTTTGTCAAAATTTGCAGAAAGTTGTTTTATTGGGTTTATATATTGACTAATTGAAGCAGCCAATCAACTCAAAATGTTCCATGTTTCCATAGAGCTTTGAGAAGAATGGAGTGTTATGTCCTACTCATTTAAACTTATTAGGAAAATGGAGTCAGACAGTCCCATGCAGTGTGCAATGAGAAAAATTCTGTCCTTTTTCCGATTTCCCACTCTCAAGAATTATTTAACATTCACAGTCTGAATGACCAAATGGTTTTTCTATGTCAGCCCCTCCAACCTGCATTATCAAACGGATAGAAACTGGGTTGAAAAATATCGACTTATGACAGGATTGACCCCTGGACCCTAGAGCTAGCAAGCTTCTTGGTCACATAGAGCTTTCAAGAAATGAAAAGAAGTCATAAATCTACTATCACAGTTTTATATAGAATAAATAGTTTTAACAAAAAACATTATATACAAACACATTAAAATATATTTTATAAAATTTCATATCAAAATCTTCTAAAAATATTGTAGAATGCTGTTAGGAGGAATGCTAAAAACTGGATGATAATATTGTTAACAGACACTGCATGGAATGCTTAAAAATTGTATAAAATCTGCCTCTAAACTTTTCTTTAAAGCCTCATATTGTCATTTGAACATGATATGGTTAAAATCTGATACAAACCTGAGGCATTTTAAACAAAGAAGATCCACAAAGAGCTTCTAATGCTGTAAAAACTGGAATTTGAATGGTTTACAAACCAAAATTTTACAAAATGCTGTTAATATATGTACAATATCTTTGTAATTAAAATGTATGATAAGTCCAATTCTATTTTACAGATAATATAGCTTGTCTTCAGCTTTCCAAAAAATTTCAACTTGGTCCATGGAAATCATGTAGTTTAGGGAATTGATAGAATTCCAATTCTTTCATCTAATTACCTGATAGCTTTCTTAGTTAACATTTTCACAGCCAAAGAATTAACCCATCAATGTTACCCGAATCCCAAAATTACAATGTTTCTAACAACCAATCCCAGGATACCCATTACATGATGTCTCTATTCCTATTACATACAACAATACTCTTGTCAATTGTTTCAGACCAAGTTATAATATCTTTTACTTTAATACTTTAAGGAATACTATCTCTTAGAATAAACCTAAAATTTAAATTCTTTAACTTGGCCAATAAGAGTATAATAATCATCAGTTGACAAACCTGGTGTTATAACTTAACAGAATCCTTCTATATGACAATACATCCTTAAAACTAAGCAATTACGTTGTAGTTTATGAATGATTTTGTTTTATGGATTTATCAGATTATACATGGATTTTGTTGATCATTTATGTCACCAGGTATGTCCACTGATGACCCCCTTGTAGGCCAAGTTTGAATTTCTGTTCATTTCAAGAAATAGTATTTATTGAAAGAATCTGAAAACAAGATGTACCAGCTGTAAAAATATAAAATTAGACCAGATATTATCTTTCCACAGTCTATATTCTAATTAAGTAATGCTTTTCGCACCATGTCTTTTTTCTCTGGGGTGAGAGAATGGGGGAACTCAATGTCAAACTCAATGACTAAATCACCCTTCTCTGAGGGGTCTGTTGATACAGGCATACCTTCTCCTGGTACCACTTTCTTAAATCCTGGTCTGAAAGAAACAATTTCAATAAAATATTATTATGTTCCTGAATTTTATAGATTAAAAAAATGCCACTAAAATAATAAAATAATATCCTTTATCCAAGGGTCAGAATAAGGTCCCTTATGCCGAAGTGACACAGTCTTCTTACATTTGAGCCCATGGGCAAATAGATTTGCATATTTAAATCTCATCAGAACATTTGGATTTTGATAAACAACCAAAGAAGAAGTCCCTGATTGTTTACAGTTAACTAAACACTGTATAATAAACAGTGTTCTGAACTGAAATGCTTATGGGATGGGGTCTGTGGGTATAAGATTGGACAGCTTTTCCCTTAATCATTATATTTTCAAGCAGTGGTTGCTAAAATGTTAGACAATGCTGTGTTGTTTTGGGGAAGTTTCATGACATAAATACTAGTTTTTTCCCTTATATAAATAGGGGCTCTTTTGACAAATACAAACATTTTAACAAAGAAACTTTGACTTACTTGATAATATCATTGATAGGAATATGTAAAACTCTATCATCTAATGTATTAATCTCTACAGTACAACCTGTTAAAGCCTTGCCTAGTGGAACTCTGGCAGTGTGAATCAGGTTGGTGCCTTCTCGACGGAATCGAGGATGAGGTTTGTCTTTTACTACAAATACTATATCAGCTGAAATACACAAAATTAAACAAGTTAACATGAGACTACTCCTGACTTGTGAGCTAGTTAATCACTTGATAATTTTGACAGTATATGCAAAAAACTCTAAATGCCTACGGGTCCATTAAAATTGGCTCCTTGGAACCCAGTCTTGCCTTCGAGGATGCAAGTTGTTGACCTCTTGTCTCTCCTTTCCATTGGAATATTCAATAATATTCTGCCATGAGGACATCTTGACACTGTCTATAAAGACCATATTATTATGCTTGCTAATAAACTATCCCAAAAAATTGCTTATAAATTCATTTTGTGAAAATTGTCAATTAATTGTTAACTTGTGAAAGTCATGAACCATGACGTCTGACTGAAGATATCAGTGTCCCTGATACTCATAAAAAGTTAAGAAAAGCTCTTTAAAAATCAAAAAAAACAAAATTTTGACATTTGCTTATGTATACTTGTCAATGTCTCCTTTGGTTTGATCCAAGAACAAAAAACCTGCACAAGAATAAGAGATTGCATTTACCTGGTACGTTATTAGGTCCCTGATCACCTTCTTTAGGGAACGTTATTCTAGTACCAGGTTTCCATCCTGTTTTAACAGTGATTGTTAATATTTTATCTCTAATACTAGATGTATGGCCATCTTCATTCATTACCTATAATAAAAAATCATACAGTTTTATATCCGGCTTTTCTAATCCAGAATCCAGAGGAATACTACCTCTTAGAATGAACATATAGAGTCTCAAAACTTGGTCAACAAGTATATTCATCAGTTGGATTTATGATATCCATTATATCCTTTTAAGCATGTTTCAAAATTACTTAGTTTTTGTGGAATTTTTGGGATTAAAGAGGGATTCTGTGAACAGGTCATTTTAACCGAGATAAAATATAAAACATACTCTTCTAGAGATTTTCATCTTTTTGGTACAACCATGGAAAACTTCCTCCAAACCCAGGTATAAATCTCTTTCAATAGATGGATCCTGTTTTTTGTGCCCACGGCCGTGTAGACCACCAAATCCCATACTCAGATCTCCATCAACTCTGTCATAAAATTCTGAAATAAACAATTGAAACATCTGACTTTCTGGGTCTAGCAAAATTGTGACAATCTTAGAAGTTTAACATCAAAAAGATATGGAGATCTTTAAGGCTGGAACCAAAAATGACCACCCTTAATTTGAGTCATATTGGTGGTCTTTTTTGGGTTCCATATTATATGACAAACCAAATTCCTTACCTCTCCAATATTGAGATTTTGTGAACAAAAGGTGCATTTGGTATCTAATGCTCCTCAGAATACACCTTTTGTTTGCATAACAAAGTCCATTGGAGAGGGCATAAAATTTGATTGGCTGACAGACGAATGCTCAAGAAGGCTGTCTTGAGACCCTAACTGAAGGGTAAATTAAAAATAAATCTAATTAAAAACCGAATGAAAGTCAATCTTCGAAAACAAAAAAGTGCATCACAACAAAAAACTACTTTTACAAACTGACTTACGGTGAGTTTTCATTGTGATCTTAATTCCAATTTATTAACATTAATCCAGAATCAATAATTTCAAAAATCACAAATAAATTTCAACATTCACAACTAAATTCACTAATAATAGTCACAGTTATAATAAATTATAATCACTCCTTATTCCTTCATCTAAAATATACTTCACAGCACTTAGAAATATATAGTTCTAGCTTTATGTCTCTGCTGTTTATGGCAATTTTATTCTATCACCCTAAATTTATTGTAGTATCATGCTAATACTAAATATATTCCAACCTGAATGCTAGACTATACCAACTCTGTCTGATTAATATTGATATCTCTTTCTATTGTAATGGTCCGTAGTCAAAACAATTTACATCAGAATTCATAATTAGTGTAAAATACAGGGTTTTTAATTAAGGTTAATTAATTATTGAAACTTAATTAACCTTATAGAATTTCCCTGACATGCTATGTCCTTAAATAGTCCTTCATTACTAATTGACTCTTTTACCAGTAATCTACTTATGGCCATGTTATTCTCTGAATCAATGACCCTTTTGGAATCGAGGAGAATTTTGAAAGACATTTTTTATAGTCTTACAATAAAGCACAATTTATCACAAATCTGATTTTAACTTATTTCAATTTGTAAGCTCTGAACAGCCAATATGTAAACAAATTATTGTTATGAATATATCACTTTACCTTGAAATGGGTTATCACCACCAAAGAAATCTCTGAAAACCTTTTCAGCATTTCCATGGAATGTATACCCCTGGGTCCATGCTCCTGTTTCTCCACTGCCTACTGGCACACCATTTTTTAACCCTTCCTCTCCAAACTGATCATAAACAGCCCGTTTTCGTGCTGGAAAACATATTTGTTATAAGAGCTCTCAACGATAACACTGGTTAACATTGGTACTCAAAACTAAACCTTGCTCACTGTTGGTTATAGCATTAGAATCATAACATATTGTGCAATTCTTAGTTACACCAAAAATTTGGTGGTCATAGGTTCTAATCTTAATCAGTATGTGAAAGTCTGGTGTCTTTGAATAAACCATCTTTCCTTATTATTCCTTTCAACCCAGCTGTAAATGAGTATGGATCATCAAGAAATATTGGCCAGAACAAGGTGGTAGAAAGGATCTTTGTGAACTTAATCCTTGTTAAAAATAGTTTTTTCTATCTCTTAATAATTTGTAAAAGACAATACTTACGATCTGATAATACATCATAAGCCTCAGAAACTTGTCGAAATTTATCAATGGCATTATGATTGCCTTCATTTTTATCTGGGTGAAATTTCAAGGATAATTTTCGGTAACTGAAAAAAACAAAATGTCACATGCTTAAGTATTGTTTATTTAATCTAAGTAATGAACTATACAAGGTGGCCGTTGAGTCTAGTTTAAATCATATTAATCCCTTACATTCCTTTCTTCAAGGTTTTGAATTCTAACTTAGTAACTACACCTCCTTCGTTTCGAAACTGGTCAGCATTCTGAACACTGTTCCTATTTCTTTCATTGAATTTTAGGTCCATTTCATGAATCCTGAACATGTAAAAATTACTAATCAAGTGCTCCCAAGAACCAATAGTAAGGAGAACATTTGATTGATGTTAAGCTCATACTCATGTGGAAGTGGTTCGTTCAAGTGACACACTGTTCAAAATAACACACAAAAACTGTTTATAGTGACGATACATTATGCATGTCAGGCCATGTGGTACTGCACTACATTTTGTACACTAATACTATGAATATATTTTCGAAGGAAATGAAATTTTCGCTCGAGCACCTGAAAGTCGGAGTGTTGAATGATGTAAATTAGAGACACAAGTCATCAATGAAGTTTAAAAATTGACCAAAAATCGTTCAAATTTTGTAAATTCTTACTGTTTCTTTATATCCGCATCTGCGGCACTTCTGGTCAAATTCAGAATACTGTAGTAATCGACTCCCATTTCGAATTTTTTACTCAACTTTGGTGTAAAACTTTCACCGTACACAAGTTGTTTATAATCGGGAGAAATGGCGTCGTGTTGCTTAGCGACTTTTATGCGGAGCTATACCTTATTTTCGCACTTTTTTTTATTTAATGAAGACTAAAGTTTGAACGCTTTAAATTATAATATTTCTTTATCAAATTTGGCTTAAAATGCCTAAAATGTTTCAGAAAAATATGTGAATCGACTTTTCTAGAAAATGTTTTAAGTTTTTCTTAGTGCAAAATTTTTATACGAAAATAAGGCTTGGCTATTGAGTTGTACTAATCCCTAACAACACATAAACAAGATGGATACCGAAAAATAAGTTTTGACATCAAGGAGAAGAACTTCGTTCTAAAGTAACAAAATATTGATGGTTTGTTTTTAATATCGTTTCTGAAAGTAAACAAGATGCAAGGGGATGTTGCAGGTGTAAGAATAACTCCACCGGTTTTGGAGTTTTATGATACAGAACCAAACAATATTTTCCAAGCCACCATCAATGTCAAAAATATTGATAAAAGCAGTAAAAATATACGTTATTATGGTCCAAAAAGTGATGTAAGTAGCTTGATTTTAATCAGAATTTTTCTTCAATGTGGGGTATTAGACATATTTGTTAATTTTTGCAAAATGAAACTAATTTCATGAAGTAGAAGTAGAACTGCACTGTGCATATAAGCTTATAGAAAACAGAAAGTGGACAGTTTTCAATCAAAAATCAAGCAAGAAGACTTTTTGTATTTTATCTTTCAGTCATATAAAACATTGGCATGGATACACAAAATAACTCCTTTGTGAAACCTCATTAATTGATGTTAATTTTGCCTTCATTTATATCTATGAAGACTTATTCATTGATTTAACTTTCAGGCATTTAAAATAAAAGTAAAGAATCCTGAGAAACCAGTAGCACCAGGTTTATGTGTACAGGCTGTAGTAGAATATGAACCAGAAGTAAAATCTGTAATTAAAGATAGATTAATTATAACAGTAGATGGAGAAGTTGTAGAAGTACCAATTATTGCGTAAGTAAAGGACATGGGTTTCTGAATTTTTTCAAGTTAAAATCAATACAAATATAAACATATAAAAGATATTATGACTCTTTTTCAAATTAATACAGCTGAAGCTTACCAACCATTTAATCTAGCTTAAATCTTCTTAAAGTCTAAATAATTGCTTTTAAGCTTCTAGAACTCAATTTCAGCTATCAATTCATCAATCAAAATGAAAATTCAACTTTTAACACTTTGGTTTATTTTTGTATGATTTTTTCCAGCTATCCATCTCAAGCTGCTTTAGAAATCGACAGTGTAGTTAATTTTGGTAACGTTGTAGCTACAAGTCGTATTATTTCACGAGAGATACCAATATCAAACCATGGATCTGAGGCCGGGGAATTTATAATACAATACACAGGAAATAAACATCTTTCAGCTATACCTAATACTGGTCATGTGGCTCCAAATACAGCTCAAATTATAAAGGTAAGGTGGCAGGCTGTTTGTTCTAGATTCAAACGAGGAGACATTTTGCATCTATTTACAGGCCTGTAGGAGGGATTGTTTCTTTCTTTTGATCTTTTCTGCTCTAACCAATCTGTGTCTATAGATTGACTGATGATATTTTCTACAATATTTATTCAAATAGATAAAGCTAAGTATTTTCTGTTTTAATGAAATTTCTTTATTTCTAGATTGAATGTGTTACTAAAGAACCAGGTCCAATAGATGAAACATTCAGGTGAGTTCTTTTTCGTCTCAAATTCAAAATGTATAAAAAAATTAAATAAAAGAATATAACATCTAGTCGGTGTTTTAAGCAGATGAACTTTTTGAAAGAGAACATAAATTTACTTGTTTATTTAGCACAAAATAAAAGCCCATATTGAACCACATTCCGTGTTATTTCAGTGTTATACTAGATGGTGTAGAAAAGGAATTAAAAATAAAAGGAAATATTGTAAAAAGATCATTAGAACTATTAAGTATACAGGGTGAAACACCATTAGATTGTGTGAAGTTTGGCTCTACTTATTATGGTACTGATAAGACAGAGTATGCTATATTATATAATAATGGTCCAGAGGTGGTTAATTTTGTGGCCATTATGGATGAAGAGGCAGTTGCTCAAGAACTGGTAAGGATTTGATTTCTTATGAATATAAAATGAAAGGACTGGAGTTTTAAGTCTTACTGCACCTAATTTGGCTAATAGACAGGGGCAATGTCATCCAGAAATTTTGCAGCTGCATTAGCCTTCTCTTTTTTTTTTATGATTTCCAACTGTTTAGAGATCTTTTACATGCACAGCCTGTAGCCTAGTTTATTGTCCCATCTGAACGGCTAGAAGCTTTCTCCATGTCGGCTCCTCCAACTTTCATCACTGACATATAACTCACTGAAAAACTGTGGCTTAGTTATTAAAGATAGTAATGTCTTGTTAATACGGACTGAGTCTAATACCTTCATTGGATTGGTATCAAATCACCGCATTTATGTTTTTTGCATAGTGCATGACATTGCTTGTCTTCTTTAGCACAACAAGATGTGAATTCATGTCATATGATTTCATGTAATTTAGATATTTATTTGTTCAATTTTAGGGAGTGGACTTAAGTCAAACAACAGCTGCTGCTCTAGCTGTAAATACAGAGGGAGGAAATAGTAAGGGCAGTACGAATATATTAACATCCCTAATAACAGCTATACCCAATCAAGGTATTTTACGTCCATACGAAAAAATACCCATCTTCTTTAGATTTAGTCCAAGGTAAGCCAATTTGAATTTTTTATTAATCTCAAGGAGATGCAGAAGTTTATTAGTGAAATTTTTAACCTTATTATTGAAAAACAATGATATGGACCTTCACTTCTGCATCTCTGATGACAAAATACCAAACAAAATATCCAGAAATTTTTGAATTTTAATTACTTTTTCCAATAATTTCTTTCTTTATGAATATCACAAACAAATAAATCATCAGTGCCTACAACCTTTTAGATTTTATCTTGTTCTGGTAGACTTGAATAAGTCATCTTGACTCATTATTCCAGTTGACCCAGCTGAAAATGGGTACAGATAATCAGGGAAAGATCAATGCCAAAAAGTTTTGCCAAGGACCAGCTGATAGAAAGGATCATTATTTTGTGAACCTAAGTTGTTAAATCCTTGTCAAATATTTTTATCTTTCTCTATCTTTTTTTATATTGTCACTGCCCTTTTTCTTTATCTTTTCATGTTGCTTTCTGTTTTGTTTCTTTTTTTATGTTTTTTTTTGCACTTTACCTATTTTTTATCACCTCTGCCTCACAAAGGTAATATTTCTCTTGCTTTCAAGTGAATGTTCCGGATAGATTTTCTACCTCATAAATAGAAAATTTAAACTTTCATACTCTGATTTCTCAGATTTTGTCTCACATTTTCTCAGATTTAACTTTCTGAGTAGAGTTATCCCTCGAAATCTATCTGGGACTGTTACTTTAATCTTGTTTGAGTTCAGAGTTGACTTCTATTCACTCCCAGGTCTGTTTGCCAATAGCCGTCCAGTCTAAAAATACATGAAAACCAGATTTATCTCAAATAACTTTACTCTTTCCATCCCAATTCCTCCAATGGACATAACATCTTACTTTTCTACAAAGCATTCATCAAGTTATATTCATTATAATCTGGTCTCTATTTGTAGTTTGTACTGCCATCTACATTTCATTCTTTTGTTGCCCATTCATTTTGCAATAGAGCTTAAAATAAGCCTATGATGTGACTTGATCTTGCACTGTCATTTACATTTGATTTTCTTTCTCTGTAATTAAGCTCACTCCATTAGAGCTCATTTCATTTAATCTGCTCTTGCACTATTAATAAGCATTTAGTTTTCTGACTTTTCTGCTCATTCATTTTACTGCAATAGAGCTTAAAATGAGCTGATTAAATTTGATGAATTTAACCTGGCTTGCTCTTGCACTGTCAGTTTCATTCATTCATTTTACTGCAATAGAGCTGATTGAATGAATATTGCCTGTTATTTCCTTCAAAATCTTTGTTTACCACAGAGTTTATAATAAGCTTATTAAATATATTTTGGCCTATTCTTGCAATGTCATTTTCAAATATTTTTCACATGCTTACATATAAATATCTTTTGTTGTTCATTTATTTTACTGCAATAGAGCTTAAAATGAGCTTATTAATTGAATATTGCCTGTTATTTCCTTCAACATCTATGTTTGCAACAGAGTTTAAAATATAGCAATAGAGCTTAAAATGAGCTGATTAAGTTTGATGTAGCCTACTCTTGCATTCATGATCTTTGTTTGCAATAGAGCTTACAAAATTCTTTTGAATTTAATCTGGCCTGTCATTTTGTTATATTTCTGCATTACACTGCAATAGAGCTTAAAATGAGCTGAATAAGTTTGATAAAGCATGCTCTTGCATCCGTTACTTCTGTTTGTAATAGAGTTTAAAAAATGCTTTTTGAAATTAATCTGGCCTGCTCTTGCATTATCACTTACATTTCATTTTAATTCTGTCATTATCTTTTGTTGTTCATGCTTGTTGCTTGCTCTTTCACCATCACCTACATTTCATTTTCTTGTGTTGTCTCTTGTGTTGTTCATCCATTTTACAGCAATAGAGCTTAAAATGAGCTGATTTAGTTTGATGTAGCCTACTCTTGCATTCATTTCCTTTGTTTGCAATGAGCTTATTGAATTAAATCTGGCCTGCTCTTGCACTATCACTACATTTCATTTCCTGTGTTGTTAATATATTTGCTGCAATAGAGCTTAAAATGAGCTGATTTAGTTCGATGTAGCCTACTCTTGCATTCATGATCTTTGTTTGCAATAGAGCTTAAAATAATCTAATTGAAATTAATCTGACCTGCTCTTGCACAATTAAATACCCTGCATTTCATTTTATTTCTGTCATCATCTTTTTTTTTCATGCTTTTTACAGAAAAAGGGTTAAAAATGAGCTGATTAAGTTTGATACATCTTCCTCTTGCATTCATAACTTATGTTCGTAAAAGAGCTGAAAATAATCTAATTGAATTAAATCTGGCCTTCTCTTGCACTATCACTACATTTCATTTCATTTTCTTGTGTTGTAAATTTATTTGCTGCAATAGAGCTTAAAATGAGTTGATTAAGTTTGATACACCATGCTCTTGCATTCATTACTTATGTTCGTAAAAGAGCTTAAAATAATCTAATTGAAATTAATCTGGCCTGCTCTTGCACAATTGCATTACATTTCATTTCACATCTGTTGTCTTCTTTTGTTGTTCATGTTTTTCACAGCAATAGAGCTTAAAATGAGCTGATTTAGTTTGATGCAGCCTACTCTTGACCTTCTTCATGACCTTTGTTTGCAATAGAGCTTAAAATAATCTTATTTAAATTAATCTGGCCTGCTCTTGCTGTATTATCACTCTACATTTCATTTTATTTCGTCTTCATCTTTTGTCCAAACTTTTCAATTTCACTGCAATAGAGCTTAAAATGAGCTGATTTAGTTTGATGTAGCCTATTCTTGCATTCATGACCTTTGTTTGCAATAGAGCTTAAAAAATGCTTTTTGAATTAAATCTGGCCTGCTCTTGGACTATCACGTACATTTCATTTCTTGTTGTTAATTTATTTGCTGCTATAGAGCTTAAACTGAGCTGATTAAGTTTGATACATCATGCTCTTGCATTCATTACTGTCTTATGTTTGCAACAGAGCTTAAAATAATCTAATTGAAATTTATCAGGCCTGCTCTTGCACTATTATCACTCTACATTTTATTTCATCTTCATCTTTTGTTAAAACTTTTCACTGCAATAGAGCTTAAAATGAGCTGATTTAGTTTGATGCTACCTGCTCTTGCATTCATTTTATTTGTTTGCAATAGAGCTTAAAATGAGCTTTTTGAATTAAATCTGGTCTGCTCTTGCACTATCACTACATTTCATTTTCTTGTGTTACTATATTTGCTGCAGTAGAGCTTAAAATGAGCTGATTAAGTTCGATACATCATGTTTGTAACAGAGCTTAAAATGAGCTTTTGAATTAAATCCGGCCTGCTCTTGCACTATTACATTTCATTTCTTGTTGTTAATTTATTTGCTGCAATAGAGCTTAAAATGAGCTGATTAAGCTGGATACATCATGCTCTTGAATTCATTACTTATGTTCGTAAAAGAGCTTAAAATAATCTAATTGAAATTAATCTGGCCTGCTCTCGCACAATTGCATTACTTACATTTCATTTCACATCTGTTGTCTTCTTTTGTTGTTCATGTTTTTCACAGCAATAGAGCTTAAAATGAGCTGATTTAGTTTGATGTAGCCTACTCTTGCATTCATGACCTTTGTTTGCAATAGAGCTTAAAAAATGCTTTTTGAATTAAATCTGGCTTGCTCTTGCACTATCACTACATTTCATTTCATTTTCTTTTCTTGTGTTACTATATTTGCTGCAATAGAGCTTAAAATGAGCCGATTTAGTTTGATGCTACCTGCTCTTGCATTCATGATCTTGTTTGCTATAGAGCTTAAAATGAGCTTTTTGAATTAAATCTGGCCTGCTCTTGCACTATCACGTACATTTCATTTCTTGTTGTTAATTTATTTGCTGCAATAGAGCTTAAAATGAGCTGATTAAGTTCGATACATCATGCTCTTGCATTCATTACTTATGTTTGCAACAGAGCTTAAAATAATCTAATTGAAATTAATCTGGCCTGCTCTTGCACTATTATCACTCTACATTTCATTTTATTTCGTCTTCATCTTTTGTTCAAACTTTTCATCACAATAGAGCTTAAAATGAGCTGATTTAGTTTGATGCTACCTGCTCTTGCATTCATTTTATTTGTTTGCAATAGAGCTTAAAATGAGCTTTTTGAATTAAATCTTGTCTGCTCTTGCACTATCACTACATTTCATTTTCTTGTGTTACTATATTTGCTACAATAGAGCTTAAAATGAGCTGATTAAGTTCGATACATCATGCTCTTGCGTTCATACTTATGTTTGTAACAGAGCTAAAAATGAGCTTTTTGAATTAAATCCGGCCTGCTCTTGCACTATTCTTACATTTCATTTCTTGTTGTTAATTTATTTGCTGCAATAGAGCTTAAAATGAGCTGATTAAGTTCGATACATCATGCTCTTGAATTCATTACTTATGTTCGTAAAAGAGCTGAAAATAATCTAATTGAAATTAATCTGGCCTACTCTTGCACAATTGCATTACTTACATTTCATTTTATTTCTGTTGTCTTCTTTTGTTGTTCATGTTTTTCACAGCAATAGAGCTTAAAATAAGCTGATTTAGTTTGATGCTACCTGCTCATGAATTCATGACCTTTCTTTGCAATAGAGCTTACAATGAGCTTATTGAATTAAATCTGGTCTGCTCTTGCACTATCACTACATTTCATTTCTTTTCTTGTGTTACTATATTTGCTGCAATAGAGCTTAAAATGAGCTGATTTAGTTTGATGTAGCCTACTCTTGCTTTAGAGAGTTTGCAATAGAGCTTAAAATAAGCTATTGACTTAAATCTGGCCTGCTCTTGCACTCACACTGTCACCTACATTTCATTTCATTTTGTGTTGTCTCCTTTTGATGTCCATTCATTTCACTGCAATAGAGCTTTAAATGAGCTGATTATGTTTGATGTAGCCTACTCTTGCATTCATGAGCTTTGTTTGCAATATAGAGCATAAAAATGATTTTGAATTTAATCTGACCTGCTCTTGTAAATGAGCTGATTTAGCTTAAAATGTAGCCTACTCTTGCATTCATTACTTATGTTTTTAACAGAGCTTGAAAAATGATTTTTGAAGTTAATCTGGCCTGCTCTTGTACTATTACCTACATCTCATTTCATTTTGTGTGTTGTTTCCTTTTGGTGTCCATTCATTACACTGCAATAGAGCTTAAAATGAGCTGATTAAGTTTGATGTAGCTTACTCTTGCCTTCATTTTCGTTGTTTGCAATGGTGCTTACAAAATGATTTTGAATTTAATCTGGCCTGCTCTTGCACTATTAAATACCCTACATTTCATTTTATTTCTGTCGTCAGCTTTTGTTGTTCATGATTTTCACTGCAATAGAGCTTAAAATGAGCTGATTTTGTTTGATGCTACCTGCTCTTGCATTCATTTTCTTTGTTTGCAACACAGCTAACAATGAGCTTATTAAATTATATCTGGCCTGCTCTTGCACATTTCATTTCATTTCTTGTCTTAATATATTTGCTGCAATGGAGCTTAAAATGAACTTATCTAGTTTGATATGGCCTGCTCTTGCACTTTCATTGAATTTACATTTATTTCATTCAAAAGAGCTTTAAATAAGCTGATTGAATGGATATTGCTTGCTATTTTATTTAACATGTATATTGTGTGTTAGCAACAGAGCTTACAATGAGCTTATTGAAATTAATCTGGCTTGCTCTAGCACTGTCATTTTCATTTCTTTCATGTATTTACTGCAATAGAGCTTAAAATGAGCTTATTAAATTTGATATAGCCTGCTCTTGCATTCAATTTATCTTCACAATAGACAATCATACTTTTTGACATTATTATATACACAGTATATGCATACCGTACATTTTTTCATGAAACTTTCTATAAATGTTACATCTTTTATAAATGTTTCTTGTTTGATGATTGATCGATTTCTAAAGATGAATTTTCAGTTTAACTTCTGCTATTACTTTCTTCTATTGCTGTGGGTGTATGTTACCTTGTCTGGCAATCTTTTTTCTTCTACTGTGCTCCTTTTACATGATGTGCTAAAAATATTTCTTCCATTATACATTTGATTTTAGTCTTGCATTTTCAGGCCCACGTCTGTCAAGAGATCTTATGATAAAAGTGCAAATTTTGCCTTGAGAAATTGCATATTTGCAAACAAAAGCAAAATTGATTGTAGGGTTTTTAAGGAAACAAAGACCATGCTACGTATTCTCAAAACTATCTTAGCGCAAGGATATCCTATAAACAGATTAAGAAGTTAAAACCTGAGGACATCCTAAGATCATTTCGAGAATATGCTGCCAGCTCTATTGGATAATTTGGTAAAAAATATGGAAATTTTTCTTATAGATGGTATAGTTCAAAACAAGGATGGAAGAGTCAAGTTACACCACCTCCAAGAAAAGATTTTGCATTGTTTTTAAAGCTACAGATCATTGGTTCAAATACTGGCTTTACTAAACTAGAGGGACAGCAAAATGGAGGTATGTTTCTTATCTATATTTATCAAAATTTCTCTTAAATGGGAGTATGACAAGTTTCAAAACATAAACACAAACAGTTCATTAATATTTAGACTTACTATCTATTAAAAACGTGGGATGCTGGTATTATAATGTTTGAATTTGAATCAGACTGAGATATGCACAAATATCATTGCTCAAGTATACCTGTGTATGTTGTGTAAATGTTGCTTTAGAATTATGTAAATACCTGGGGCTCATTAGCAATAACTGATCTTTTTATGATTTTAGTGTTTCAGTCATTTGATTGGTCAATCACTAACATCAATTTTATGTTAAGTTATATTATCAGATTACAGTATTTCTTAAAATCTGGATATTGTATTAAAATTAATTTTCGAGAAAGTCTAAATAAGATAAAATCCAAATTTTAAGAAATACAATAATCTGATTGGACAATAATACAAAATATGCAATCAATTTTCAATACTAAAATCATCATAAGTTAAGTTTTCCAGAATAAGACCCCAGGATTATGATTATAATGGTGTTTATTACAGGAGGTTTTGCTGAAATAGCCCTAACAGGAACAGCCTTACCAGTCTTATTAGATATCTCACCAGCTCCTGTCTTTGATTTTGGAGAATGTCTGGTTGGAGAACATGCTGATGTTTTATTCACCTTGAAGAATGATTCCAATATTCTGCCAGTTTTGTATCAATTTAAAAAAATTGCTCATTTCTCTGCTCAGCCACCAAATGGTAAAATCTCACCAGGACATTCTCAAGATGTTATTTTCTCCTTCTCTCCACGACAAGTTGGTAAGTTACATTTTGTGTTTATAGCAAGAATCATTCTCACACCAATCAGAATCACTCTTACAAGCGAATATCAGAAGTCTCATAATCCTAATGGTCAGATTGCTCTACTTAGTCGTAACTATGCCACAAGTCAAAGTGGATATTTAGACACAGATTCTTAATGACGCGCTGTGATTGGTTCAACAGTACATGACCTTTGTATATAATTCTTCTAGATTACAATGGAGGTCGATGAAATTGTAAATGTAATTTTAATTAGATTGTAAATAGTGCGACACTTATATTTTTATAACATGTTATAATTTCTCCCACACAGTTATGTGCTTTACCCCTCACAAAAATACAATGTTAACAAAATTATTTCGAAGAGTGTAAATCAAAGATGGTATAAGTACCAAAAACCCCAAAATATTTAAAGAAAGATCTCCAAAAAATGTGTGTATGTGTGTCTGTTCTTGTCAACAACATGCTTATGCCTAATAAGAAAGCTGCACATTTATGAATAGTAGTAAAACTCTTCTTACAAACATCACATTCATTAGGTTTTTCTCCTGTATGCATTCTCATGTGTTTAGTATGATTTGATAATTTTAAAGTTTGCTTTCCACAAATATAACATTGGTATGGTTTTTCTTCAGTATGTATTTGCGTGTGTGTTTTATGATCCAACAAGTTTGAAAAGAATTTTCCACAAACATAACATTTGTAAGGTTTTCCAGTCATATGTACTTTCACATGATGACAAAGTTTACTTAACATGTCAAGACCTTGTCCACAAACACCGCAATGCCAATTGAAAGATTTCTTCTCTCCAGTATGTGTTCTCTTGTGAGCTTTCAAAACACTTGCTGTTATAAAACACTTTTCACAAACATCACATTTGTATGGTTTCTGTCCAGTATGTATTCTCAAGTGTGCAGTATGATGTAACAATTCTATAGAATGCTTTCCACAAACATCACATTCATATGGTTTTTCGATCCTATGTTTTTTGATGTGATAACAAAGTTTTCTAGCAGTATCAAAACCTAGTCCACAAATACCACAATGGTGAGGTTTCTTTTCTGTTTGTTGTTTTTTAAGAATTTTATGATTCATTAATGCTTGTCCTGTATCACAACCATTCATCGCAAATCCAAATAACTCTTGTGGTTTTTCTTCTCGTTTTCTTCTGTATTCTGCCATTATGAAGTGTGTAGGCTGATTTGGAAAAGTTTTTGTGAATTATTGTTATATTATGTTTCTCTTCTATTTTTTACTGTGGAATGAATCTTGATATAACAGGAAGTGAAAAAGATTACGGATTGGCTCATGGCATACAGAAAGCTTTATAATGAATTTAAGCATGGTCTGTGTTACATTACACTGCATTGAATTTGAGCTCCACAAGTAAATATTTACTTAACAATCTATTTTTAGAATTTAACTCGGATGACAGATATTCCTGTCACTGATTTTAATTGGTTGAGAGCTTATACATAGACCAATTAAATTTATCGAAACAAAATGCTAGACTAATATTCTTGACACTTGACACATATTGTTGTTATCTGTCTTAATATTCACACGCTTTACAGAATATTCTAATAAATAATCAAGTACAAAATCAAGGAAAAGACTGATTTTTCTTTAAAGGGTGATGGTCTAGAAATTTCAAAATGATAAAAATGTCAAAAATAAATTTAATTCCATTAAAAAACACAACATAGAACAATAATGAAAATATAATTTTCTTTTTTAAAGATAGCTTGCCAGGTCTGATAACACACACCCACAGGCATCTTTCAATCATGAATCATACATTTCTTTCAGAATATTTTTGATATCGAAGATTTAAAACTATCCAAGGGTAGTTTTTTAAAATAGTGCTATCTGTGGATGATGATAGATATATCACCAAGTTTCATCCAAATCTGTTAAATACAGATTGTGCCTACTAGGTTTTTTTTACGAAAAAATAGGACAGTAATTCATTAAACAAATTTTCGATTTGTTATATGTTTGATTTTCAAAAGGATTCATCCTCATAAATATCATTATGAGCAATGTTACTAAGTTGTTTTTAATTCTATTGATACAAATCTATAAAAGATCGTGCCTTTGTTTATGAGCTAAAAAATTGAACTTTTTTCAGAATACAAGGGCAATAAATTTTTTTGAATTTTTATTGGGTTAATCTTTGGCTGATGATAAACAATTTTACAAAAATATTTCAAAAATTGACGATATTATTTACGAGCTTAAAATTTAAAAGGTTTTGAAGGCCACAGGCTATAACTCATACAAGCAACTGTGGACTTCCCAATGAGGATGGATGATCCCATAATACACTTTGCATTTTATCTATGATAAAACACTTTTTATGAAAATAGAATTTTTAGGTTTTTCTCTTGTATGTAGTATTGTTGTGTGCACTTTTAACTCTTTTCACAAACGTTTTTTTCTCCAGTATGTGATCTCATGTGAATCTTTAGCTTATTTGCCATTGTGAAACACTTTTCACAAACATCACATTTGTGAGGCTCTTCACCATTAGGCCTATGTATTTTCATGTGAAGCTTTAACTTATTTGATATCGTAAAACTCTTTTCACAAACATCACATTTATATGGTTTTTCTCCAGTATGTGTTCTCATGTGAACCTTTAGCTTATCTGACATTGTAAAACACTTTTCACAAACATCACATTTGTAAGGTTTTTCTCCAGTATGATTTCTCATGTGAACATTTAGATTGCTTGCTCTTGTAAAATGCTTCACACAAACATTGCATTTGTAAGGTTTCTCTCCAGTATGTGTTCTCATGTGCAACTTAAGTGAATTCGGATGACAAAAATACCACTCACAAATGCCACATTTGTATGGTTTCTCTCCAGTATGTATCCTCATGTGAACAATTAGATTGTCTGCTCTTATAAAACACTTTCCACAAACATCACATTTGAATGGTTTTTCTCCAGTATGCATTCTCATGTGAATTTCATGTTGTGACAATTTTGAAAAACTTTTATCACAAACATCACATTTGTAAGGATTTTCAATCTTATGTTTTTTTATGTGATGACCAAGTTTTCTTGGCGTATCAAAACCTAGTCCACAAATACCACAATGGTAAGGTTTTTTTCCTTTGTGTTTCTTGTGAATTTTATAATTCAGGGTTAGTGCTTGTCTTATAACACAATCATTCATCTTGAATTCAGATAAATGATATGGTGGTTGTTTTTATCTTCATCCGAGTCTTGACATTTCATTAAAAGGTTGACTTTTTGATGCAAGAGATAAGAGAGTCTTTCAAATGTTGAGATTCACAGTAAACAGAAGTGGTTGGATCTAAAATTATCTTAAAGTTTAGTTTTTTAATTAGATTGAGTCCAATTCTTTTAACAACTAAACAAACATCACATATCTTAGTTTTCTTTTTGGTAAGTCTGCTATGAATCATATTCTTACTAACTTCCTTACAGAACATTAAAAAGTTTCAAGTTTTGAAAAAACAGGAAGTTATAAATATTACGGATTACCTTAGGATTATAGACATGGACCTGTAAAAGTAAGTTAGCTAGAGCACTTATATTTGCCCTCCTATTATTTTTTTTAATAGAACAAAACTATATTTCTATATCAGAAATGCTTGATTTATAATTTTTTGTCTGTTTTCACACCATCATTTGGCAATGTGGCCAGAAGTATTTTTTTAATTTTTTTTTTTACCATTTTTAAGTCATACATGTCTGATAATGATATGATCCAAATATTGTTTTGTTACTGGCCTGCATTCTGGAGTATACCCTTGCGATTACCGTAAAATACAACGATTATGGGATTGGTAACGTATGATTTTACTATTTATAGTACTTAGTTATGTATAGCTCAGTGACCCCAGATAGATCAATAAAGGAAGACAATTCAATTTCAATTCATTTATTGTACTACAGTTGAATTGATAGTTTAAGTGAGTCTTTTTTAAACCAAGGGAGCCACAAGACTCAGTATGTTAGTTGCTCACTAACCTGAAGGCCCAGTGTTCAATCATATGTTGACATAATACCTTGTCAGTGATCCAGCTAAGAGGGTCTGACATGGAAAAAGTCGTCGTTCGGATGGGACAATAAACCAAGGCCCTCGAAATAGAGCAGGCTAATGCCAATGTCCTGGCAAAATTTCCCTCATTGCACCCTGAATAGCGTTGCCCGTCTTCATTAGACCATATTTTGTAGCTAAATCTCACTGTATAGGGCTCAGCAATTTATCCTAATCACCTAAATGGATGTAAATGGTTTTATATAAAAACAGAAAACCAATAAAAGACAATCTCTATTTTCGACAGTATTTGATAGAAGTTTCAAGAATTACACGAGTAACTTGAATGACGACCCAAACCATCTGATCAGGCAATGACCTTGATCTTGAAGCAAGAGATTATCGATTTTTGTTTACATGTGATTTTATTCAAATTATCAACAATACAAGCTATTATCTAATTAGGGATAAGTGATTAAGATGACTAGATATCGAATTATACAGATTTTTTTGAAGATCTGATCCACTAAATAGGGTCATAATTCGTAATGCACGGAATGTCGGAGTATCAGAGTTTTTAAACTGACAAAAGGAGGAAATTAATCATTACCAAAAAAGATGAAGGATTGCACAGAATGTCTGAATACTCAGATGTTGATATTCACAGAGTACATTGTAATGTATTATCCTGTCGACATTCAGTTGACACTGTGATTGTTTGTCATTTATCATGTTATTTTGGTGTGCAAAGGTTTTTCTCAAGTATGGGTTCACAAATGACCTGTATGATGTGATGCAATTATAAAAGATGTACCACAAACATCACATTTGTGTGGCTTTTTTTCCCAGTATGTATTCTCATGTGAATATTTAGATAATCTGCTCTTATAAAACACTTTCCGAGATCATCTTATTTGAATGGTTTTAATTATCATTTTAACATCTTATTTCAAACATCACATTTGTAAGGTTTTTCTCTAGTATGTGTTCTTATGTGAAGATTCAGATTTCTTGCTTTATTAAACGCTTTCACAAACCTTTTATTTGTAGGGTTTCTCTCCAGTATGTGTCTTCACATGAATTTTATGGTATGATACATTTCTAAAACATTTTCCACAAACATCACATTTGTATGGTTTCTCTCCAGTGTGCGTTCTCATGTGTACCTTAAGATAGCCTGATTGACTAAAAGTTTTTCCACAAACATCACATTTGTATGGTCTCTCTCCAGTATGTGTTCTCACATGAATTTTATGGTATGATACAGTTCTAAAAGATTTTCCACAAATGTCGCATTTGTATGGTCTCTCTCCAGTATGTGTTCTCATGTGAACATTAAGATCGCTTGCTCTTATAAAACTCTTTTCACAAACATCACATTTGTTCGGTTTTACTCCAGTATGTATTTTCACATGAATTTTATGGTATGATACAGTTGTAAAACATTTTTCACAAACATCACATTTGTAAGGTTTCTCTCGAGTATGTATTCTCATGTGAACATTAAGATGGTTTAATTCATTAAAACTCTTTTCACAAACATCACATTGGTAAGGTCTTTCACCAGTATGTGTTCTCATATGAACTTTAAGACTGCTTGCCCTTATAAAACACTTACCACAAACATAACATTTGTATGGTTTCTCTCCAGTATGTATTCTCATGTGTATCTTAAGATAGCTTGATTGAATAAAACTCTTTTCACAAACATCACATTTGTATGGTCTTTCTCCGGTATGTGATCTCATGTGAACATTAAGAGTGCTTGCTCTTGTAAAACTCTTTTCACAAACATCACATTTGTGGGTTTTCACTCCAGTTTGTATGTCCGTGTGTTCAGTATGATGGTCAATTTTGGAATAACACTTTCCTCGAACATCACAATGGTCAGGTTTTTGAGTCATATGTTTTTTTATGTGATGACAAAGTTTACTTGCCATGTCAATGCCTAGTCCACAAATACCACAATGGAAAGGTTTCTCTCCTCCAGTGTGTTTTTTCTTTCTAGCATGTGTTCTCATGTGAATTTTAAGTTTCTCTAATTTGATAAAACGTTTTTCACAAACATCACAAATGTAAGCCTCTCTGGTGTGGCTCTTCATATGAGCTTTTAAAGTCTGTATTTTTCTAAAGCCGTATTCACAAACATCATATCTGAATGGTATTTCCCCAGTATGAGTTCTCATATGATTTGTATGATATGAAAATTTTGCAAAACACTTTCCACACACATCACATTTGTAAGGTTTTTCAATCATATGTTTTTTAACATGATAGCCAAGTTTTCTTATGGTGTCAAAATCTAGTCCACATATTCCACAATTTAAAATATTCTTTCCTGCGTGTTGTTTTTTAAGAATTTTATGATTCATCAATGCTTGTCCTGTATCACAACCATTCATCATAACTCCATAAAAATCTTGTGATGGTTGTTGTATACCTCTGTATTCTACCATTATGTAAAATATGTATGGATTAGTTTTTTTTAAGTCTTTTGTCTGCACTTTACTATGGTCAGGGATGAATTTTGTTAACACAGGAAGTGGTGAATATTACGGATTACCGAAGGATTATAGACAGAGGTGTAAAAAATTTAAGTGTGGCCATTTTTATAATCTATAAACTTACCATATTGTAATGAATTTGATACTATACTATATAGTACTATGGAGGATGTTGCTAATACGTCTTAAAATGGTTAGCCGCCATCTTGAAAAATATTCAGTTTTATCTTGCAGACAGGATCAGTTTCGCTTTGTGACGTCATATTGATTATGATAATCGAATCAGATTTAAAGGATTGTAAAGAGGTTTTCTAAATTTTTATGGGAACACTGATAGCATCAATTTGCATCATTCCAATTTTCAATCAGGCGTCTGTGGTTCCTGCAATACCACAAAAGAATGAGTGATGACGTCACTTAACGCAAAATATGCTTGAATCACATAAGTCCCTTCCCGATTTGTGACATCATTTAGTTGAATTGCAGGAACTAAAGATGTCTGATTGAGAATTGGAATCAGGCTTAACATGACATGAGTGACCGCACTGTGAATCGAACACGACCCAGAATGTCACACGATTTACGAAAATAAATATTAAAAAAGTTGTCAAGGATTTGGAGGTTTTCAGATGGAAAATAAACATTGCATCTACGGACAAATCGAAATGATTTTGGGCTAATCCAACAAGACTAGGCCTGTTAAGTAAATAAGCACAAATGGAGAAATACATTGATTAAATCCTCATCAATATCAGAAGTTTTCGCGCTCTTTTTAATTTTTTTTGTCGGTTTAGCCTAATCGATTATTTTACCCAGCCCTAGTTACATATTAAGATTATCCCCCTTTTAAGGAATCTGTATCAGTAGGTCAAGTCAATATGTAGTGGACAATATATTGTTGATCAGTTATCAAGTCTAGAAATTTCAATTTAATTAAATTTCAAAAATACATTTATTTCCATTAAAACACAAAGCAAAACAATTACTGAAATGTTAAAGGGATAGCCTTTTTATGTTTATTTTTGACTGGTAGTTTACAAATTCTCTTGTGGGAGCTGCATCATTTCCGGTTCACTATTTCTGGAATTACAGGAATCACAGGCATCGGACGAACAATTGGAATGTCCCAAATAGAAGTCAAAGATACAGGCTAGAAAACCTCGTTACAATCTCTTAGGGTACACTTTTAATCATATATGAAGGCTGAAAAGATGCCATAATTAGGTCTAATGAAACAGTTTTTTATGAAACATTGTATTTGTAGCGATTATTTAAGAGTCATGTGTTTTGTTATAGTGCACTTTCAGGTTAATTGCTTGAGAGAAGCTCTTTCCACAAACATCACATTTATATGGTTTTTCTCCAGTATGTGTTCTCATGTGAATCTTTAGCTTATCTGACATTATAAAACACTTTTCACAAACATCACATTTGTAAGGTTTTTCTCCAGTATGAGTTCTCATGTGAAGATTTATTGCACTTGCAGTAATAAACCTCTTTTCACAAACATCACATTTATGTGGTTTCTCGCCAGTATGTCTTCTCATGTGAACTTTAAAATCAGTTGATCTAATGAAGCTTTTACCACAAACATCACATATGAATGGTTTCACTCCAGTATGTATTTTCATGTGTTGAGTTTGGTATGTTAATTTTGAAAAACGCCATCCACAAACATTGCATTTGAAAGGTTTTTCTTCAGCTGTATGTATTCTCATGTGTATGTTAAGACTGCTTGATGCAGAAAAACCCTTGTCACAAACATCACATTTGTATGGCTCCTCTCCAGTATGTATTTTCATGTGCAATTTAAGAGAATTTGGATGAGAACAACCCCATTCACAAATATCACATTTATAAGATTTCTTTTCAGTATGTCTTTTCATGTGAGCACTAAGAGAACTTGTATGAGAAAAACACTTGCCACAAAAATCACACTTGTATGGTTTCTCTCCAGTATGTTTTCTCATGTGACCTTTAAGGTCACTTGCTTTAATAAAACTCTTTTCACAAACATCACATTGGTAAGGTTTTTCAATCATATGTACTTTAACATGGTAGCAAAGTTTTCTTGTCATGTCAAAGCCTAGTCCACAAATACCACAATGGAAAGGTTTCTCTCCCGTATGGATTATCTTGTGAGCATTTAAAAACTGTCTTCTGTTAAAACTCTTTTCACAAACATCACATTTGTGAGGTTTTTCTCCAGTATGAGATCTCATGTGAACACGGAGATCGTGTGCTCTTGACCAACACTTTCCACAAACATCACATTTGTAAGGTTTTCCAGTTATAATCATATGTACTTTTACATGATGAAAAAGTTTACTTATCATGTCAAAGCCGCGTCCACAAATACCACAAGGGAAATATAATTTTTTCCTTTTAATTTTATGATTCCAGGGCAATACTTGTCCTGAATCACAACCATTCATCACAAATCCAGATAAATCTTGTGGTTGTTGTTGTATTTCTCTGTATTCTGCCATTATGAAAAGAGTAGGCTTATTCTGACCAGTTTTTGTTGTACTCATAGTGAAGTTTTGTTGTTTTTCTCTTCTATTTACTATGGTATGGACTTTGATAATACAGGAAGTGATAAATATTACGGATTGACTTAGGATTGGTGACAGGTTTATAAAAATTAACTGTGGTAATATAGATGTGGTAACAGCATTATGCACAGTTCATGAAGCTTGAACACAGCCCTGCCACCAGGAATGAATTGGTGCTGGGGCTCATATTTTTTAATCAGAAAATTTGAAGAATTAAAGGCCCAGAGGACTCATTTCTGACAATTTTGAGGTGCCAAAAACATATCAAAATCTATATCTTTTTGATTTTGTGCAAAGACGCTGCAAATAAAATCTCTGCTGAACTGAAGAAGGTTTTGCTGGGACTTTATTCTCACTTGCTGGGGCCCAGCCCCCACCCTAATGATTGCTTAACCTGTATATTCCTATGTGCTGTAAAATTGAGGTCAGTAAGTGTATCTAAAATAAAGAAATAAATTAAAAATTGAATTAGGATTTTGGAGATGTCATACTTTTCAAAACTAAATTTAAATGTATAATTTCACAGTCACATTGCTATAGTCATTTTTATCCAAAGTAAATCTGATTTGATTACGTCAGAAAACCATTTATCCTGCATGAAAGTGTATCCTATCGAATCTATATACAGTCATCAAGCAAATCTGGAGCATTGTTACTTCCCTTTTAGTTTGTACTCTTTTGATGTGTCATCTATACACAATATGACAGTTTGTCATTACAACACATGTTAGTCAGGATGTATATACCCAAAAAAGACATAAGGGCTTAAAAATATTACTATTTATTTATTCTTTTTGGGTGGGGTGGGGCAACTTGTTAGCTGCCATCTTGTGTTTATATATATTCCATTGAAAACACAATATAAACAATAATTAGTAGAAATATCAAGAAAAATATTTTTTGATGGATAGGTTGCCAGGTCAGGTTAACATGCACCCACACAGCAGCTTTTTTAAATCCATTGAAACACTTCTATTGTGTTTGAGCAGTTTTTAAAGGGTTTTAACCATATCCAGAGCTGTAACTCCAAAACCATTGTAAAAAATTGAATTTTGTATCAAGTTCCCGATATTGCCCCCCTTCCACTTTAACAATTTTTATAAATTAAATCAATACCCCTGGAAAATTTCCCCTGCTTGACCCCCCTCAACTAGTTTTTCCTAGTCACTGCATGCGTAGTGCCAGCAGACAAATAAAACAAAAGGAAATATACGTCTTGAGTAACAGTTTAAATGAACCCACAAAGTCATTTTATTTATTATACGCAAATTTTAGTTTTGGTTGATGAAACGTTTCGATGGTTTCTTCCCAGAATGGGTTCTCTTGTGAAGTTTTAAATTACTTGCTGTAGTAAAACATTTTTCACAAACATCACATTTGTATGGTTTTTCTCCAGTATGAACTCTCATGTGTACTTTAAGATTTCTTGATTCATTGAAACTCTTGTCACAAACATCACATTTGTATGGCTTCTCTCCAGTATGGGTTCTCTTGTGAAGTTTTAATTGGCTTGCTGTAGTAAAACATTTTTCACAAACATCACATTTGTATGGTTTTTCTCCAGTATGAATTCTCATGTGTACTTCAAGATTTCTTGATTCATTGAAACTCTTGTCACAAACATCACATTTGTATGGCTTCTCTCCAGTATGGGTTCTTTTGTGAAGTTTTAAGTGACTGGCCATAGTAAAACATTTACCACAAACATCACATTTATATGGTTTCTCTCCAGTATGTCTTCTCATGTGTACTTTAAAACTGCTTGATTCATGAAAACGCTTGTCACAAACATCACATTTGTAAGGTTTTTCTCCAGTATGAGTTCTCTTGTGAACTTTAAAATGACTTGCTGTAGTAAAACTTCTTTCACAAACATCACATTTATAAGGTTTCTCTCCAGTATGTGTTCTCATATGTGTTTTAAGACCATTTGTTTCTTTAAAACACTTATCACAAACATCACATTTGTATGGTTTCTCTCCAGTGTGATTTCTCATGTGAACTTTTTGATGCCATACAGTTGTAAAACATTTTCCACAAACATCACATTGGTAAGGTTTCTCTCCTGTATGTGTTCTCATGTGCAACCGAAGAGAATTTGGGTAAGAACAACACCATGCACAAACATCACATTTGAATGGTTTATCTCCTGTATGTGTTCTCATGTGCAACCGAAGAGAATTTGGGTAAGAACAACACCATGCACAAACATCACATTTGTATGGTTTCTCTCCTGTATGTATCCTCATGTGAAGTTTTAAATAACCCGTTGCAGTAAAACATTTTCCACAAACATCACATTTATAAGGTTTATCAGTCTTATGAATTTTAATGTGATTACAAAGTTTTCTTGACATGTCAAAGCCGAGTCCACAAATACCACAATAGAAAATTTTCTTTTCATTGTGTGCTCTTATGTGAACATTAAAATGATTAGCTCTGATAAAACTCTTTTCACAAACATCACATTTAAAAGGTCTCTCTCCAGTATGTGTTCTCATGTGATCATTATAATGCAACAATTTGGAATAACTCTTTCTACAAACATCACATTTGTAAGGTTTTTTAGCCTTATGTATTTTGATGTGATCACAAAGTTTACTTTTCATATTAAAGCCTAGTCCACAAATACCGCAAGGTTTTTCTCCAGTATGTTTTTTTTCTTGTTGTTGTTTGATTCCTCTGGTTTCTGCCATTGTGAAGTTTATAGTCCGATTTGGACAAGATTTGGTTGTCTGATCATATCTGAAGCTTTGTTTATATCTTCTGTTGTTTACTTTGGGATGGATTTTGATAAAAACAGGAAGTGATGAATTTTACGGATTGACTCATGGATGATAGACAGGGCTATTAAAGAATTTAAATGTGGTCTGTTTAATAATGAATGAGCAGGTAAAATAATCCTCCAGAAAGCTTGTTAATTATCATATAGAAAAACAAAGGGAAAAAACGAGTGATATAGAAATACCACTGTTAAAATAGTGTTCAATACATCAATTGTAGAGTGATAAAGAAATACCACTGTTAAGGTAATGTTCAATACATCAATTGTAGAATGATATAGAAATACCACTGTTAAAATAGTGCTCAATACATCAATTGTAGAGCAATATAGAAATACCACTGTTAAAATAGTGCTCAATACATCAATTGTAGAGTGATATAGAAATACCACTGTTAAAATAGTGCTCAATACATCAATTGTAGAGCAATATAGAAATACCACTGTTAAAATAGTGCTCAATACATCAATTGTAGAGCGATATAGAAATACCACTGTTAAAATAGTGCTCAATACATCAATTGTATAGCAATATAGAAATACCACTGTTAAAATAGTGCTCAATACATCAATTGTAGAGCGATATAGAAATACCACTGTTAAAATAGTGCTCAATACATCAATTGTAGAGCAATATAGAAATACCACTGTTAAAATAATGCTCAATACATCAATTGTAGAGTGATATAGAAATAGCACCTAAAGACTGTAACTGTGAGCCTCAAATATCACCTGTTTTGTTGTTGTTAGAGACATATACGTAATAAGAGATATAATGTTTCTCAACACCACTTACAGTCTACAAACTGAGATTAAACACTTTCTACAAACAGAATTCTTATGGTTTACTCATATGTATTTTGGTGTGCATGTGAACATTCAAATATGCTGCAGTTCTAAAAGATTTACCACAAACATCACATTTGTATGGTCTCTCTCCAGTATGTATTCTCATATGAATTTTGTGATATGATGCAGTTGAAAAACATTTTCCACAAACATCACATTGGTAAAGCTTTTCCCCAGTATGTGATCTCATATGAACTTTAAGATGGCTTGATGCAATAAAACACTTGTCACAAACATCACATTTGTATGGTTTTTCTTTAGTATGAGTTCTTATGTGCACCTTAAGAGAATTTAAATGAGAACAACACCATTCACAAACATCACATTTGTAAGGTTTCTCTCCGTTATGCGTTCTCATGTGAACTTTGAAATGACTTGCTGTTGTAAAACTCTTCTCACAAACATCACATTTGTATGGTTTTTCTTCAGTATGTATTCTCATGTGAACTTTTAAATGACTTGCTGTTGTAAAACACTTGTCACAAACATCACATTTGAACGGTTTCTCTCCAGTATGTGTTCTCATGTGCACTTTGAAATGACCTGCTGCTGTAAAACTCCTCTCACAAACATTACATTTGTAAGGTTTCTCTCCAGTATGATTTCTTATGTGAATTTTAAAATGACTAGCTGAAATAAAACATTTTTCACAGACATCACATTTGTATGGTTTTTCTCCAGTATGTGTTCTCATATGCACCTTAAGAGAATTTGGATGAGAGCAACAGCGTTCACAAACATCACATTTGTACGGCGTCTCTCCAGTATGTTTTCTCATGTGCACTTTGAAATGACTTGGTGTTGTAAAACTCCTCTCACAAACATCACATTTGTAAGGTTTCTCTCCGGTATGTGTTCTCATGTGAACTTTTAAATGACTTGCTGTTGTAAACCTTTTTTTACAAACATCACATTTGAATGGTTTCTCTCCAGTATGTGTTCTGATGTGAACTTTGAAATGACCTACTGCTGTAAAACTCTTCTCACAAACATTACATTTGTAAGCTTTCTCTCCGTTGTGTCTTCTCATATGAAATTTAATAAGCTTATCCCTTGTTGTAGTAAAACATTTTTCACAAGCATCACTTTGGTCTGGTTTCTCTCTAGAATGTGTTTTTGCGTGAAATTTAAAATCATGTGCTAAAATAAAACTCTTTTCACAAACATCACATTTGTAAGATTTTTCAGTCTTATGTATTTTTAGGTGATGACGAAGTTTTTTTGTTATGTCAAAGCCTAATCCACAAATACCACAATGGATAGGTTTCTTTTCAGTATGTATTTTCTTGTGAGCATTTAAAATTATTCTTCTATGAAAACTCTTTTCACAATCATCACATTTGTATGGTTTCTCTCCAGTATGTGTTCTCATGTGTTCTTTATGTTGTGACAATTTTGAAAAATGCTTACCACAAACATCACATTTGTAAGGTTTTTTAGTCTTATGTTTTGTTATGTGATTACAAAGTTTACTTTTCATGTCAAAACCGAGTCCACAAATACCACAATGAAAAGGTTGTCCAGTATGTATTTTCATGTGCTCTGTATGATAAGACAATTTTGAAAAACATTTTCCGCAAATATCACATTTGTAAGGTTTATCAGTCTTTTGTTCTTTAACATGATTACAAAGTTTTTTTGTCCTGTCCAGACCACAAATATCACAACATTGAAAAGGTTTCTTTCCTGTGTGCTGTTTCTTTTGAATTTTATGATTCCAGGTTAATGCTTGGCCTGTATCACAAACATTCATCCAATCCATAAATCCAGATAAATCTTGTGATAGTCGTTGTTTTATTCCTCTGTATTCTGACATTGTGAAATTCTGTTGTTATGTGATCAAAGTGAAGCTTTGTTGTCTCTTCTGTTGTTCATCATGGGAAGGATTTTGATGAATATTACGGATTGACTCATGGATTATAGACGGGTTTGTGAAGAAAATCAAATATGGTCTTATTTTCACAATACTATTTATGATTCTAGAGAAATGTGTCCCTTACTCTATCTGAAAGTTTTTATTTTGATTTACTGATTTTAGCAAAATAAACGCCTTATTGCAGAGAAATATGTCTTCTACTTATTTTAAAGGTTCAACATATTGAGCTGTAGGGCCTAAATGTCTTACACTGAAACTGTTTACTTGACAATTAACACACTCTAATGTATTCAGCTTGATCAAGTTGATACATACAACAAAATAACATAAACTTATATAAAAATATTTTCTGATATAATTTACTACTACAACTGTATTTAATTATCAAAATTTTGTATACAGCCCTTATAATTCAGTGTCTTACATCAATTGTAAAGCGATAAAGAAATATTAGATTTCAAGTTTATTTCTTTATATTTTCATTCAATATAAGCAAAAAAAAAAAAAAAAATTTTAATCTGATTATAATTGGATTGTTTTTGAATAGCCTACACAAATAAAACCAAACGATGTAACCTATGCCTAACCGAATAGCTTGCCATCATTAATGCCCCTAAGCAGACTTCTTCAAACGAATATTTAAACTTGCCCTGAAATGTAGACATGAGAAAAAGTTCTACTTGTCCAAGACTTGTCTGAAGATCGCATAGCTTGAAACTCTGATGTGTTTAGTCTAATATTGTAGATATCTAAGTGGGCAATAATATTTGCAGATTTGTTGATTTTGAGTTGTCACTGAAAAGGCCCACCATATTTCTTAAAATGATTAAATTATGGATCAGGTTTTACCTCAAGAATTTAATGTGTGGTCCAGAAAAATCAAAAACATTTTTCATTAATCACTCATATCATTATATTTGTATATTTTTATATCAGAAATTTCAACTTGTAGAGCTGTAATATAGTGAAGAGGTGTCTAATATCTTTATAATTATGAGGACAAAATAAGCTTTGATACTTCTGAAATATAAAGTGTTATTGTTTGTCTTTGCCACCTGATATAAGAGATTTAATTAATGGTGCGGGTATGAACAGTCTTTGTCACCGACGTGAATCTTGAGTAAGATCTCAGGTGTGTTTACATTCCACGACAAGATTATTGCGTTGCCAATAGGATTTATAATATCATACCAGTTTCATATTTGTTGCCAATTATTTTATCGTCTGCAAGACAGAGCTTTATCATCCAGTCAGATTCATTTTTCCTTTTAAGTGCATGATCCACATGTGATTATCAACATCAAGGAAAACGACCGACTGGGGATTTTTGTCTCCTTGTGTACCCCATTCAGACAGTATGTGCCCTCAGTTATTTCATATTTTTTTATTGATATTTTTTCAGGAACATTTAAACCACAACAGTTGATAGAAATCCTAGGCCATGTGGCTGATAATCGTAATCCTACCCTATCTCACCAACAAGTTATACATACAATGGGCATACAGTTTCAAGGACTGAGTGATCCAGTTGTTATTAAGCCAAGTCCTAGATTTAACCCAGGTTTGTCTCCCTTTATTTCATGTAAAACCCTTATTGCTTTTATAAGACACTTTTGAAATTTGATTTATACAAAAAAAAATTAAATTTTAAAAGAATAACAATAATTTAGGTATCCTATCTAACTTGGTCAAACCCTTCAATAATGATTAATTATCCATACCCTTTTACAGCCGATTCAAAAGAAATCATAAGAAAAGGTGCCTTATTCAGTATACATTTATAGTTGGGTTGACTGGAGTAAGGAGGGAAAATGACTTATTTTTTTGTAAAATCTTGTAAACGTTGACTGAGATTGATGTATTTTATTGATTTCAGGAATAACACCATTAATTAGTAACGAGGTAGGGCTATATGTTGATGATACCACGTTTGTTAAGTTAGACACCAATAAACCTCGTAATGCCCTGGTATCGGCCAATAAAACAAGACTACATGCTATCAAATCGGCCAGTACCTCATTGGATAAAGATCAGAATGTAAAAATAGCCTTCCCTAATGACAGAGCTCAGAGCATTCGACCAACAGATAAAAGAGAACGCTACAAGTAAGTGATCATTATTAGTTCCTGTTTTGATTTTACTTAAAGCCATATATATATATATATAGGTTATTGAAAGCTTGACAACCGGACAGTTGATTCAGCTCTATTTGCTGAAGATGACTAACAGAGCTTCCCTGGCTATTTGCATTGTCACAGTGCATTATCTTTGTTTTCCATCTTATTCATACCGTTGTTCGCAGCTAATGGGTGCGCTAGTTTTTATTTTCTGGAAGTGTGAAGCCATTTTGATTGTCAAGAATGCAATTAAACGACTTTGTAATAGGGGGTGAGAGCTGTCACTGGACCGACTCTCAGAAGCATTGGCACAGGTATCAGAATTTTTCTTACCTTGAAGAGGGTTCGAACCCACCGCACCTAATCACTAAACAGATGACAATCCAACTACCAACTGAGCTATTCCGCTGCCACAAAAAGTCAGTAGGTTAGGTAGGGATGGCCAAATATTGTTTAATGCTCATTATATTCCTACCTTCACGGCACGAATAGCCACATCCAATTCAGAAATATCAGTGATTGCCAATGTCATTGTATAATTTCAGAACTATCTTCACCCAGGCTGAACGTCACCACTATGTAGATCCAGACTACGCCTATACTGATGAAGAAGAGGAACAGGTCAAACAACATACAGACCAATATATTTCTTACATCAGAGAACATCGGGAGAATAGACTTAATAAACAAAAACAAAGGTAGGATTATATGATTAAAAGATCCGCGAACTGTCGCTATCGTCGTGGATCAAATTTAATAATCCCTTTAATAGGCAGCACAAATGGTTAAAGAGCTTTTCTAAAGAAAATTATAACACTGATAGCATCAATTTGCACCATTCCAATTTCAGTCTGATATCTGTGATTATTGCAATTCCTCGAAAACGAAGTGTTTAATGACGTAGCTCTTGTTTGTGGATATTACCGGTAATTGCAGCTTTTGTGATAATGATGTCATAATACAATTAAGTACCACAATGCAAGAACCACAGACGTCTGAGTGAAAATGTTGCAAATGTCACCAAAACACGTAAAAAGCTAGACAACCTCTTAACCAGCATTTATCTGAGAAACATAATTAGTAATACACAAAATGTCGGAGTGCCGGTACTCAATGTTTTTTAACCTGTCATAAGAGGGAAATAACTCAGAATGTCTGAATACTCAGATGTTCGATTCACAGATTATACAGTAGGTATTGTATTCATTAACTCAGAGGTTGTCTAGGACCAGGACCTTTCACAACAAGACATGACATAGCTTTTATCTTTTATTTCAGTGAATTCCAACAGACCAACAATCCTACAGATATCGGATTAAAATCAGCTGGTGGGTTACGTCCCTTTACTATTAAAGCTAAACAAAATAAAGTGGATCCTAAAAGTAAGTAATTTGGAATGATTTTTGCCTAGATTGAATCCTGGACCAACATTCATCCCACTGAGCGTCTACCCCAGTGTTTATGTATTTGTTATTTGATGTTGATTCTCACAATTTGCCATTGGAGTGAAATACTTGCTTGCTAACCTGTAGGTCCAGGGTTCAAACCTGGCATAGGTCAAGATTATACCATTGAAATTTTCAACCCGGTTTCGCCCTGTCAGCAATACAGGCTGGAGGGGCTGGCATGAAAGAAAAGTCTAGTCGTTCGGATGGGCAATAAGCCGAGGCCCCAGGTGCTAGAGGCCTTAAGATCCCTTAACAGTTGAAAATGGAAAAAAAGCAGGCTAATGCCACTGTCCTGGCAAACTTTCCCTCATTATCCACTGCATGGTGTTGCCCAATCAGGTACTAAAAAGTAGAACATAAAATTCCATTAATCTATTTGTTCACTATTTCAGTTCCATCCCCACCGAATGCCAAATGGAAATTACTGAGTACTAAAGAATTAACAGAGATGGAGAAAGAAGCCATGATGAGACCAGTAAGTTACAATTTACAAATATTCTCTCCATTGTTTTGACATACATGGAAAAAGTGTCTAGTCGTTTGGATGGGACAAGAAACAGATGCCCCATGTGCTACAGACTGAACGTTAAAGATCCCTCAACAGTTGGAAATTGATAAAGAGTAAGCTAATGCAGCTGTACTGGGAAAATTTCCCTCATTGCCCTCTGCATGACGTTACCCATCTTTATTAGCCCACATGGTGCAGAAAAGTAGGACGTTGATCTCCATTCATTTCATTTCCATTGTTTTGACAAATAAACCATGGTTCACTTTGAGGCAATGAATACTACTACCCTAGTCCTGAGGTTTACCTGCTAAAGAGAAATTATCGTTTTGCATTTTCAATAACGTTTGTTATTTTTTTTTATCTATCATCATTTTGTTAGGTCTCTGATGGTTTACCTGCAGTACCAACTACACTAGGGGAAAAACGTGACTGTACAAAATGGCTGACACCACAACAACTACATCAGCTTGTTATTGGTAGGTCTCTTGATCTTATCTAACATAAAGACACCATTTTAAAAATATAACAATCTGCATATTTTGCTCAAAAGATTAGGTGCTAGTTGTGAATACAAAGCTTTGATTTTCTATGATGGAGGGACAGATTTGTAAACACCATTCTGTTAATGACTGATAAATATGTGGAAAAAAGGCCAAGTTCCTCCTGGATACAACTAAACAGCTTTTACAGTTTTGTAAAAAGGCTGTAAGTGTCTAGTTAGCCTATAAATCAATATAGAAATAGAATAGGTAGACATGAAATGGCTTTAACTAAAAAGAAATGCAAAGTTATTTTTTTGGTCTGTTTCAGGTCCACCAACTTTAGATTTTGGTAAAGTTTGTTTACGGTCTGTGAGTCGGAAAGATATAACTATAGTCAATAATTTAGATCAGTATGTCCATATCGTGGCTGGGGTAAGTGAAGAAAAATTCCTAAGGGTTTTCTAGCTAGAGATTTGGGTTCTCTGGTCAGACATAACTGGCAAATACTGTCTTAAATACATCCTTAAAGTGTTTTCAATTGCTGTTGTCAAGACCTGAATATATATGGTTTTTGTTTTCTGATTGTTTGGATTAATAAATATCTATAAACTTCGTGAAATTGGTTTTACAATTTATGTCTGAGTTATTAAGTTTCAATAAAGTATAGAATATGCTGATTTGTAGACCTTTTATTTTGGAACTTAGATGTCAATAATCAGTTTCATGTAACATTTTTTCTCACCCTGCAAATTGAGTGTAAAAGAGTTAATCCCTGATCTTGTCTAAAAGACGGGATCCTTCAAGCTTTATCACATAGGCCCTTTGCAATTATCGACTTCATCAATCACTTAGTTTTAGTGGAATTGAAGGAACCACAGACATTTGATGGATTATCAGAATGGTGCAAATTGATGCTATCAGTGTCCCAGATACACATAAAAAATTTAGAGAATTTTTTTACAATCCCTTTATGGATATCATCCAAGTAAAATATGTAAATTTTTCGTTATTATACGGTTTTTTTTTCTAACCCCTGCAGATTGACTGTAAAGAGTTAAGACAGAGCAGTCCCCTATCTCAAGTTGTACCACCTAGATCTAAAGCTGTTATACCTGTTATATTTGAATCTAATGCTAAAGGGAAATTTCAGAGGTAAGGAAGACAGAAAGAAACAACTATATTTTACAAGTTTAACTACTTAGATTCACTCAGGATCCTTCCTACTAGCTGGTCGTTGGCCAAACCTCTTGGCATTGATGTTTCCCAAGTTTATCAATACAAGGCATTAGATTTTGATAATCCCTTGGTGTTAAAGGGTATTAGAATTGGCTACTGTAAATGGATTGTGATTTGAATTTTGGTATTTTTCTCAATTTCCTCTTCAATTTTCCAGATCTGTAATGTATAGCGTGAATGGATTCCACCAAGATCATGTGACAGTGTTAGCAGAAGTAGTACCAGTGTCTATAGAGTTATCTACCCCTAATCTTGTTTTAAAACCATCTATTGGGGCAGCAGCTGATGCAGGTCAGTTTTTGATTGACCAATCAGAATCACTTTTCCAAGCGAGTATCGACAGTATCATCGTCTCATTGGTCATATTGTTCTTCTTTGGGTTTCGCTATCCCTTGATTCATAGTCGATATTTAGACACAGATTCTGCATGACTTACTGTGAATGGTTGAAATGTATGTCACAATGCATGACCTTGGTATAAATCTTGTAAGATTACAAAGGAGACCAACGAAAAAAAATTATGAAACGAAAAAGTAATCTTATTTTAATTAGATTGTCATTTACCAGTCCTATATTGGCCACCATTCTTCATTTAAAAATTGATTTGAGAACTTATACTAAAAATTTTGATATCACATGGTTTGGTATACATGTGCTTTTTGATTTGACAAGAAACCATGGAAACATCATATCTCGCTCTCAAAAGTTGGTTTTATGTCTCAGCCACAATCATCAAGATATTTTTTGGATAATTTTTTCATTTTTGTTATTTTATTTTTCCAGGAATTCGTGGAGTTATTACCCTGTATAATAAATATAACTATCCAGCAGAGTTTAAATGGTCACCAAAAATTACTGATAAAGGCACAGCCTTCTCTATTAGACCAGCAACAGGTTTGTTCTTGATATTTCCTAATGGCAGGGATCTACAAACTTCCTCTATCTAAAGGAGTTCCTCTATTTTTCTGACCAATGCTGATTTTCTTATTTTGGGATAAAATCACTAGAAATATTTCTATAAAGGATATGACTTCCAAAGCATCTTAAAGGGTAAAATCTCTCCTGTTACCCACACATTGTAGTCTGTGGCCCACTTGATTCTCTGCTGATACTGGCATCCCTGTTATGTGCCTGTATTGCCTTCATAATTCAAATCAATACTTTGGGTTTCACTATCCCATGATTCATAGTTGATATTTAGACACAGATTCTGCATGACTTACTGTCATTGGTTGAAAAGTATGTCACAGTGCGTGACCTTGGTATAAATCTTGTAAGATTACAATTTCTATCCCTGTTATGTGTCTGTTTTGCCTTCATTATTTAAACCAATACATAATGCCATACAAAATAAATCTGTTTTACAGGCCTTTTTTTCAAAAATCGAGGCTAGAGGGCGAATTTATTATTTATAAGAGATTTTTTAGATTTTCAACTAGAATAAATCAGAGGAAGGGAAAGCATTTATTATTTATTTCCACAATTTTAACGTACATTTAATATTAAGGCAACAATCAGTCATTTTTGGGCCTGTAAAAGAGACTATTTATTTTGTATGGCCTAAGGCTTTTGTGTTGATCAAAATTTAAGATCAGGTGTAATTTTTAAGACAGGCAACGTTCATATTATATGTTGTAGGTACAGTAAAAGCCTACCAGTCATTAGATTGTGAAGTAGTATGGTATCCTTCCTATCTGGCACCAGAAGACGGAGAATTTCTACTGGATGTAGTTGGTGGTATTACTGAGGAACTCAAATGTGTAGCTGAGGTACGTTAGTTTGAATCTTCCAAATATAAAGCATGGAATACAGAATTATTGAGATTTTTTGTTTGATTGAAGAGGGTAGGGTGGTTGAAAGATAACAAGATACTAGTCAAGAGAAAGCACTGGCACAGGGTAAAAGGACTGTTCATTAATAGTAGACATTAAGGTAACAAGATACTAGTCAACAGAAGACACTGGCACAGGGTAAAAGCACTGTTCATTAATAGTAGGCGTTAAGGTGGTTGAAAGGTAACAAGTTACTATTCAACAGAAGGCACTGCCAGAGGTTTAAAGCAGTGTACACTAATTGTAATTGTAAGGGAGGTTGAAAGGTAACTAGTTACTAGTTTCACGCTTTTTAATATTGCTTAATTTTTGTATTATATTTTGTAGGTTGGTCACAGTAATGTGAATTTTGTGGATCGTAGAATAACTTTTGGACAAGTGCCTGTTAATTTAACAACTGTTAAAACAGCGTTATTGAAGAATTCTGGACCTCACCATGCCTACTTTCAGGTTAGACAAATTTCATTGACTTATTCTTTTAATCCTTTTAACACTGATTGTATATAATATAAATAATTAGTATCTGATAGTGGTGAAAGGGCTAAAACAACAGTTTCTTCCCCTTTCTAGTACCAAAATTTCATAGCATCAAGATTTCTCCAACTGGCATTTGGTGGGGATGAAATTTATAATGCATTAATCTGAAACTACAAATTTTGTCTTTGTTTAGGTTTTGGACCCTAATCCCTTCCCTGGTTTGATTGTCTCCCCTGTCAATGGTGTAGTGCCAGTAGGGGGCACTTGTGAGATAAAAGTAGCGTTGACACCCGACGCTATATTAAAGTTTGATTCGAGAATTCAGATTGATATCAAGGGAGGTAAATGTATTGATTTAAGGATGGGAGGTACGGTGGAGCCACCAGCAGTAGATATTGATGTGGTAAGTTCCAACTTCTTTTTTAGCACTGACGTCCCATACTTATGTTACCATAGCCACCTTTCTTGTATCACAGAAGTTTGTTAATGCAGCAATGTGATTGGATTGTATGCTACTAAGTACAGCCAATCAGAGCCCTCGACAGAAAGATTTAAATAATTTGGAAGAGCCTGTAATTATATAGATCAAAGGCTATGATCGGATGTAATTGGTAGCATAAAGTCCAATCAAATTGTTACAATAACAAACTTCTATGATATATGAAAGGCAGCTATTGCAGTCAAGGTATCAGAGACCGTTGGTAAAAGCTTGATATTGTCGAAATACAGGAGCAAAAATTTTGGACCATAAACACCATGACTATTTTTATCATTATTTTAATATCCATCATTCTAAATTGTATATTTCAGGCCTCGTTCCATCTTGGAGGTATTTATTGTGGGTCTGGTACACAAGTTCCATTTCATCTCATTAACAAGGTATGTTAATAGCAGAATAATGCAAAAAAATAATTCATAATTGAATTGTTTATGAGTATATTTGTAATGATAATCTCAGAATCTGTGATAATATAGTCCTGGCAAACAGCTGAAGAGATCTCATGAATTTGGGATGATGGGCAGGAAGTCTGAATCTGAAGGTGGAATGTGACATATGCCTATCAAATCTACAATTCAGAAGTCGATTTTCTAGAAAAATCCTATTTTGAGATAATTTTAATTCTTTCAGTCATCTGATTGGTCAGTCACATAATTACATTTTTAACCAATCAAATTGATGTGTTTCTTAAAATCCTGTTTTGAAATTATGTGTAGCAGCAAGTTTGTTATCTAAGTTGAAAATTTTTCAAGTCCTGGTTAACACATTGGCAATGTACAGAATTAAAACTTTGTTTTTTTTATCTTTCAGACAGTAACTAAAGCAACAGTGGAGTTTGATTTGACTCGTTATAAAGATTTCAGTCTCAATTTTCCAGGAGCTCAATCACAAGGTGAGATATTTTTAAAACTCTTTTGTTTCAAAAATGTGCTTCTCAAGATAATGCTCTTTCCCTACAAAACTGAGAATAGACTTACACAATTGCTTCCCTCATTGCACTCTTCTTGGGATTGCTCATTATCAGGTGCCTTATTCTTGAAAAATTAACTTAAGATGATTTTCCACTCATCTGATTGGTCAAACAATAAAATTAATTTTAAATTTAGTTTTATTGTCCAATCAGGTTGCTGTGTTTCCTAAAATCTGGCTTTTATCTTATTCAAGTTTTCGAGATCTTTTACATTACAGATGATTTTGCGTATCAAATGATGCATCCTGGGATGTTTACAGTATCGCTACGCCCTGAAGAAGTTCTACAAGGGGAGCTAACTTTCATGCCTTTGGAGGTGAGTAGGTCAAGATTTTACACTTGTTTTCAACATAATGCATAAGCAATGCAACTTAACTTTTTCTCTTTTTCTCCTCTCAAGAGAGAAGATTCCATACAGTGTACAGTATCAAAAATTTCCGAAAGGTCTTTCTGTACTGATTTGTATAATATGATTTAATGGTGTGTTGAATTGAATTTTACCAGGACAGCGACATTAGCTGATATATTTTTCTTTTTGGTATAAAATATACAGAATCAGGAATATCATCAGCAAAAATCTAAAATATTGTAAAACTCATGAAAGGATGGAAATTTATGAAAACCCTAGGAAACATCAATCTTTTCTTTCAGGTTGCAGCTTATGATTTTATTATGCCAGTTATGGTGAATCATATTGGTGCCCCATCACCAGCCCCCACCCCCTTCCCTCCTACGCCTGTCCCTGAACAGAAAAACAGTCTGGATCATATCATCAACCCTCGCCCTAAACCTGTCAGTGTGATCACCCCCAGGAAACATATTGTAGCCACGGCACTCCGACAACCTCTCCAACTATCACAGAATAGAATCGAGTTCAATCTACCATCTAGTTTCCATGAGATTACTGTTAATACAGGTTTCGGTGGTTCAAAGGTGAGGCATTTATACATCTTAAGGTTTCTTTTGTGATGTTTAGAATAAGTTTGAATGCCAGGGCTTTTAAGAAATTCTATGTATCTTGTATATGTGGAGGCGTATTGTGTTAGCTATAATATTAAAACTTATAGAACCTAGTCTAGATTCATAGCCTCATGAATCGGGATTATTTTTTGCATTAGTTCAAATTACAGAGGTATTGCTGAGTTAGGTCATTGCTATTTTATGCTGTAAGAGATATGCTTTTGTGCAACTTGTACCTTGTGCTGCTTGCAGTCTATAAAATGCTAGATGCTTTTAGTTATATAATAAAGAAAGATGTCTTCAACTTTCACAAGATTTCTTAACATTTTTTAAGTGTTCCATTTTTATGCCTGTTTATAGTGTTTATCCACTAAGGCTCTGTGCAAGCTTTGGCACAATGTTAAATTGCTACAATTTTCACAAACACATAATAATTTGCTTTGTTTTTTTTCCGTTTTCTAGCTGAATGAAAAGGTATTGAATGCTCACAATTAGTTTGTTTGTTGTTTGTGTTGTTGTTTTTGCACTGTTTGAGTTTGTGTTGATCACCATTTGTAATGATGTAATTCTTGTCTTGTGGCTAAAACAACAGACATTCTATAATCAGGGCAGCTTTTTTGGCGTCTTTTATGCTGCCAAGTTTTATGTTTCCAACTCCCAAAATTGTCCTACATAAGTTATATAACATTGTGATATTAGACCTTATTAAATAAGGATAACTTGAGTTCAGCACTTGATATTGCTATACCCCTCAAAACTTATTTGAAATCGTTGCTAGTTATTTATTAGAATTCAGGTATGACTGAACGAAAGATGACATTGAAATATAACTGAACGATAAATGGTATTCAGGTATGATTGAACGAAAGATAGCTTACATGTGATGATTAAATTAATTGCTTAATCTCATAATGAGGATTTATTAAACACAAATCATGCGACATCAAAAATACCTCTAATCCGGGAGCCAGATAACAGTAACACGCGACCGGATGATGAATACTATTTACTATAGAATTTGATAATTGGTTCCCAATCACAGCCGTGCGAAACCGGAAACCGTAGCACCGGATTAACGGTTACTTTTACTATTTACTAGTTCCCAGTTCCCAGTAAAAAGCATGCGGATATCGGGGTTTCCAGATTATTAACCGGATAAACGCGGCTCCACTGTAATTTTTATCCATAAAATTTTGTTCAGTTATGATATAAGGAATTCACAATAAGGGGGAGGGGAAAATGCAGTACCAACTGGGTATTTATCTACCAGTGTATGCTTGGTTTTGGTTAAAACTTTTATTGAATTCCTCACCTCTAATGACTATCTGTTAGAAATATTGTTTTGTGTTTTTCTGTTTATTTTTTTAATTCATATTTAGCCGAAAGAACAGGTATTTATGCACATTGGGGTTGATTCAAATAGACTGTTTTGATTTGAGGTATAATGAATAGTAATGGAAACCATACAGAATAAGCTTATAATGGCTGACAAGTTACCTAAATATACTGGGTACATGTATAAATGTTTTGAATCAGACCCAGAAGTGCATGAATGTCTTTGGCGGACATTTAGTTCACGTTA